GAAAAACAAAAGACAGGATATCCTTTTCCACTGGAAAATTAATTGTGGTGATAAAAGGGCAAACTCATTTTTGTACACTCATTTTTGTCCTCATTTTTTACCACAAATGGAAATGAGGAAAAAAGGAAAATGTTACATTGTTCAGCAAAATGATATTATGGTTAGATTACTGTTACAATATTTTTTCTGATTAAAAAAATTAAAAATTCATTGGATGAACATGCCAAGGATGAATATTTTGCAAAATCATAACACAGATTAAAGAGAAGGTTGTGTTCTGGTAAAGATGAAAAATAATTCAGAAGCTTTCATATGCTGTCATTTTGGAAGGATTTAGAGGAAATGTCCCCTGAAAATTGCTCTTCAAATGCTGTCATACATACATCATATAAAAAATGTGATGAATAGTTTTGACTAAAGGTACATACATGTACATGTGTACATTTTGTATGTCACAGATTAAAGTTTGTAATGTGGTACTTGGCCCATATACTCATTATGTGTATCTATTAAATAGTGCAAATGATTTTCATCAAAATTATTAATTCCTCATTTGAAGCATACCAAAACCTCACAGTAAAAAGTTCAGGTACATGTACATGTACATAATCAACCTTTTCCAATTGCTTCCAGCTTCTACAATTTCATTGCATGACCAGGGGGTGTTTCACAAAGACTATTTAAGATCAACTTAAAGTTGGCCTTATCTATGGCAGGCCGTTCATGCCACTGTTTGCTCTCACCATTTACTGGCATTGGTATCACAAGGGACATGGCCTGCCATAGTTAAATCCAACCTAAAGTCTATCTTAGTCTTTGTGAAACACCCCCTCCCCCCCCCCCATGTACTCTACGTGATTACTGTACACTCTGAGTGGAAACAAGATTAGACGTAAACTACTTAGACGTGAACTGGTGAAAGTTCATCATAAATCAAATGTTTTTATAATCCCTGTATAAAACCGTGTCCCTCAGTAAATAAATTCTACAGGGGAAACCAAGTTTTGTCGAGTTGAGGGAGACCATTGCAGATCTAATGAAGCACCTCAGATACTGTATGGCTACAGTTGAGTCTGATATGATCGATCCAAGATGTAAATGTGATCTCGCATTCTGTCATTACATGCACGGAGGCAGATTGAATGCAAGCGTAGAATGATGAGACTTGGTTAGTTCGATTGCAATTATAGGTGCATCCACATTAGCCCCCCAAAAGCTTGAGCTTGTGGATATGGCCTGATCAGCGCACCTTGAGAAAAAAGGCCTGGGTTTGAAGACCCGTCTTGTGCCAAATCGAGCCATCTCATTCACTCAAAGAATTAGGTTGAGCTCCAGAGCATATCACAGACTAACTGCGTTTTTAAGCCTGTCTGCACTAGTTTGGCCAGGAGAGATTAGACCACCCAGTGTCGTCACTGACAGGTGGTTATCTCATCAACTCGGCTCTCAATTAATAAGAAAAAGAGGATCATGGGGGACCAACGGGCACCGCTTAGGCATTGTTTTCTATATAGAGGTAGCAAGTACCGGTAGCTACAAGCAGTGCAGTGGGGCTTTAATACTGGTGCATAAAACAGCTCACAATTTCACGAACAAATCCTACATGTAGTTTGCTAAACTTTGCTGGAAAACAATAAGTCAAGCTACATGTTCTCCACCTCACCAGACCGACAACTAACCAAAGACATATTTACCTTGCCGTGGCCTGAAAGGCAAGAAGATGGTCAGTTTGGAGTCAGTTTAGCTGTGTGTGACCATCTGAGTATTTACTCAAGCTTCATTTAGTTGCAGTTGGGTAAAATTGGGGTGCTCTTTGTACAATATGTAGTATAAAGTCCATGGGAGTGTTTCACAAAGATCCTAAGTAGAACTTAACACTAAGTTAGACTTAAAAAGTATGGACAGCCATTGGAGCCTTAAAATGAAATATATTCAAAAGCAAAAATTGGAGTATTTAAGACTTTTCATCAATTCCACATCAAGAACATCTCCCATGATAATAGAAAATATGAATGATTTGAATCAACATTTTATGCTTTCTAAAAAAAATTACAAAATATTTTCAAGGATGCTAATGGCTTCCCATAAATTTTAAGTCCAACTTAGAGATAAGTTCAACTTAGGATCTTTGTGAAACACCCCCCCCCCCCCTGTCTATTCCAAAAACTTGGGCTAGTGAAGACAAGCCTAATTAGCCTCTCAAGTCTGCCGACAAGCCGGAGGGGGAACCAATGGAATTAATGCAGAGATCCACAGGGCCTAAGGGGTTGATGAGATGGATGGCAAATGACACTGCATGCACTTGGACAGATTAGATGATGTTCACTCAATAGCGGCATTCACACTGCAACCAACAATCGTTGATTATGGGTAGTCACAATCTCATAGAACGTATTCAATCGTTAATACAATGATATACTTGATCAAAAATATGATTTGATTTTGGAGTAACATCATTGGCTTTCTGTATACAATATAAATTTTATTTTTGATAAAAATCAGGTTTTGTTTTTCTTTTTTCATTTTTCATAGTTCAACATATCAAATATTTCTGCATGATGTATGCATTTTGTACATGTACCCATTTTTGGAACGTCACCACAAGTCATATGAAGTCATGATTTTTTTTTTCAGAACAAAAAATAACACTATTAATTTGGCATCAGTGTTGCCAATTGAAAGAAGTAAAACAAAATTATGAAGCACTTGGAAAACCCCTAACATAGACAAGTTAATTAATTGCATTCATTTCTAGACAAAAATGAAAAATAGTGTACATGTATGGATCTAACAACCATTAATATCTTGCTGACTAAAAAAGGGCAAAAAGAAAAGAGGAAAAACTGAATTGAAATTATGGCCAGCCGAGAAAGCCATTATTGTTGGCATTTAGACAGATTACCAGATGACACCACTTCTAAATCACATGCATGCATGATAATCACTGGTACTCCATCACTGCCATGAGAAAAAGATTCTGATTATTAAATGCCAATACCTATCCCCATACTTCATCTATTCCTCCTACACAGTCTCCAAATGCTGATTATAAAGATGATTTAAAGGTACTTTGTCCCTTTTGCAGGTCAAAAAAATGGAAAGGTTAAATTCCTACGGCATATGAAAGATAATACTAGTTTAGAACTTCCCTAAAAAGGGGCTTGAAAATGTCTTTAAGTGGGAAATAACTACCACTAGTTGTTGAATCGACTTTAATGATTGCAATCCATTTAGTAATAGTCTGATTTTCAGACCCTTGTACTGAGTGGTCGTAAGTTTTGTGCTGCACAAAGATTCAATCAGTTTAATTTTGGCCATAATACAAGAAGTAGGTTATTGATGTAGACAAATGCTTACATGTATGTACCCTTTTCAGCTCACTTTATGTATGTTATTACCAAAGAAAAAAAGAAGTCAGTAAGTCACTCAATAGTGTCTGAGTGTATAAATATTAGGACACTGCTAACGTTAAAATTTCACAGATAGGACATACATGCAAATATTCATAATTCCTGCAAAGTTCTACAGAATTTGATGTTGGCTGCAAATGGGACATACCTGTAGTACCTTTAAAGATGCATAGTAGTGGGCTTTCATGGGGAATTCGACACCATTTGGGTGTTTACCTAATAACAGGTGTTTCCACCATTTAAAATGCTCTGCATTTTCCAACAATCGCCCCATATGAAAAAAGTCATTATATTACATTTCCCTCAGTCACCCCTAGACTCTCTGAGGGACTAGGGGGTATTTCTTGATGTGTATACCAACAAATTGTATTTCTGCCAAATCTAGTGTCAGCAGCACCTACAATGTACTGCACACATGAAAACTGACTACCATCTACCTTTAATACAGGGTATACATGTAGTGTATTGCAATGTATAGCGTTGTTTACATGAATATTTCAATATTATAAGCTGATGACGTGGATCCTAATCAATTGATTGGTTGAAAGCGTACACGTGACCAGGCATTTATTTTGCCTAACGCGTAATCGCGCGTAATTTGGGTAATGACCGGTCATTATCAAAATCATGTTATAAAACATCATTTTATAAAACAAATAAAACATAATCTTATAAAACAAATAATACACATCATTTTGTTCGGGCATTAGTAAAATTACCCACACTTGGTACCTTCAAAACAGTCCAAGCGACTCTTTAAAGACGGGGGCCCAAGTCTAGTCATACACATATCAGAGCATTTAAACGTAATCCTCAGACTTTTCTCTTTTTTCTTGGTATTATCAACATTTCTATCCCCCCCCCCTCTCAATTTCTCAGTCTTTCCTTGGTCCCACATACATGTATACATAAAATTATGTGTTTTGCTGTTAAAAGAAATAGTCTGTGTTTTGTTATGAAAAGAAAAGTCAAACCTCACATCAAGTTGAAGAGCTGAAGAGTATTAGAGAAAGAAGGTACAAAGTATTAAAACTGTGATCAATCAAACTTTAATAAATGAGCAACTCTGTGATATCCCTTGTAAACCTACTCCACTCTTCTTTTACAATGAAGGGAAGAACTTGACTTAAAATGTATTTTTGGCTGTGATGCAAATTATAAGTATGAGCTGATGAAGTCTCGCATTACAAAATGACTTAGAAAAAACATTGTCAAAGTTAACTTTCTCACGATACACATTTGTTATCCTTTTTCATTGCAATTTTAAAATATAAATTTAGAAAACAAAGGAGACCAAATAAAAATAATTTCAGATTCCTCTTTTAACACACTTCTGATGGTTAATTTGCTTGCAACTTCCTATAAATTTACACGAATGTAAAAACAAAACACTTGAAAAAAGAAATATTAATATGAGGAGACTGTACTCTTTTAATCCTCAACGCCCATGAATCTGAGAAGAAAACACACCTACTGTACAAAAGGAAAAAAAATGAAAGAGAGAGAGAGAGAAAGAAAAAATGAAGGAGAGAGAGAGCAAGAGAGAAAGAGGAAAACAGAAACAAGGAGAGAGAATGAAGAATTACTTACCGCATATTTAAATCTGGAATTAAATATTCTATCATTGGCCTTCACAATCCGCTCTGTTTCTGTAAAATGTCAAACATGAAAACAAAGATGGCTCACAAAATGAATATAAACAGGATAAGCATCTCAGAAAGAAATCATTCAAGACATTCAAAGGCATTTAATCACTCAGCCTAGGGGAAAACAGATACAAATCAAAACGGCCAATGACGTGATACCAACTACAGTACATGTATATACACGTAAAAATGAGAAGGCTTCATTTTTTAATAGTACACAGTGCAGCTTTCTTTGGATATACAGTAATTACAAGATTCCATTATATTCAGATCTAATCTTCAAGAGTTGTTGTAGACTTGTATTAAAGCTCAATTGCTTTCTGTTACATCCATTTCTCACTGATTCCTGGTAGAAATGGCACTTTCATCCATACATTTTTAGTTTAAATTTGTCAAATCAATAAACCAGAAGTGAGAGAATTTTTGGTTCCACAAACTTGGGTAATAAAATAATTATTATGAAGTATCGGTTTGTTTATTGATCACAAAAATAGACAGGTATCACATGTAAGTTTACTGTGGGGCATACACTTTCTGTACATACATGTACTGTGCACATGTATTATTCAGTTAAAGGGTGAATTTGTTGATTAAGTTGCGATTTGTTATGTGTTTTCTTCCCACGTTTTTAGCATTAAGCACTAAATCATCTTTCTCCTCTCTCCCTGTCTCCTTTCTAATACATGTACACACACATGCTAAATGTTTTATAAATACAATAAAATACAGGGTAATGCATGTAACATAGGTATTAAAGAAAATCTTTTGTTGCCACAGGGTTTCAGATATTGATTGGTTCATCCTCCCTGCTCCTCCCAATACAAGATTGTGAAACCAAGACAATAGACATGCGATACGCACACACAGACAAATGTGGGTCTCTACAACAGTCATGCATAAACATGGTCGATGCTCTTTGTTGACTTTCATCCATCTGAGAGTAGTCCTGACCAAGTACATTAGTATTCAAAGAAAAGATTACACAATTGCAATATTGTACCAGGTATAAAAATGAATATCAGTATGCCTGCACACGTACCGGTACTACTTTAATAGTGACAATCATGATTCAGGCCAAACTACAAATAAGCACAATGGTGTACTGATTGGGAACAAGGGCGTGTCATGAAAGGGGGGGGGGGGGGGGGGGTGGTCTTAATATACAGTACATGTACAATGTACATGGAGGGGGAGAGGCTGGTCTTTATTAACATGTACAGTAGTTGGGCTGGTGGATGAAATATGAAACAATGTTACTGATTGAGGGAATTGGGTGGGGAGTGGTCATTATCACCAACTTGTCACTTTCCTTTTTAACGTTATCCTTTTCTTTCTCTCTTTAAATCTCTCTATTATTTTCTTTCCAGATATTGTTCCGCATCTTTCATTTGAGTGGGGGAGGTGGGGCAAGTACCTCAATCTCCCTCCAGGTATACATGTACATATTTGGCAAAAACATATCATGAAAGTAGAAAGATACTTACCCTCTTCCCCGCCCATGGCTGTACTTGCAAGATTCTACTCAGCTCATCAAAGCATCTTTATTTCAGCATCTGAAAGACACAACAAGAAAAGAAATACTGTAAACAATATGAATTGAAAGTGCAGAATCAAAACTTGGTGAGTATGTTAACAGGGCCCCCATTTCACAAAACTTGTCATCAGAAACAAATGACAGTTTTTGTTATATGCTTCTGAAATCCTTGCTTCTGATTGGTTATCAGCAGATTTGTCACTGATTTTCGTCATTTGTCATTGTAAAAAGGCTTTGTGAAACAGGTCCCTGGTCTCTGGTGAACATCTGACTGAAAGGCAAAGCGATTTCTAAGATCACAATATAAATGACTTAAATCACAACTACATGTAAATACCCAGGAATATAACTTTCAGTTTCACATGTATGTACATGTGTACAACTTTCAAATTGTCCTGGAAGATGGTGTTTCTCTCTCCCTTTTCCCTTCCTCTAGAGCTGCCCCCCCCCCCTCCTCTTTCTCTCTTTCTCTCTCTCTCTCTCTATTCCAACTCTCACTTTCTTTCTTTCTTTCTTTCTCTCTCTCTCTCTCTGAACTTTCCCTTTCTTTTTTTCTATCTTTCTTTCTCTCTGTCTCTCGCTCTCTCTCGCTCAGTATGCTAAAACTGTTAGAGTCTTGTAATCACTGTGCCTTTTCATATTTATTCTACCTCCATGTATCACCCTTTTATCTTGATTTGTTACAGACAATCCAAATCATTGACAGCAGCTCGAGAACGCAAGATGCATCCAACATACAATGTGCATTATAAATATTTTTCTATATCTGAATAGTTGCTCAAGACAGCTAGTGTACTTTAATACAATCCTACTTTCCATTGTACCTGTCATCATGCAGCTCGGTGTACCTGTATCTATACACCCATTTTGTTGTTCTGCTTAGTAATACTGTGCTTTACACATGTAACTATTAGAGCAGAAAACATGTGTAGAATTTGAATGCCTCCAACTTTAAAAGGATGTGCATAAACTGGTTGTTAAAGGGAGGGGGGGGGGGGGGGGGGGGGTAAGGAGCATGGTTTTTGCCCAATTCATGAGGAAATATTTGGCGGCAAATCAGCCAGTTGGCGATTAAGGGGGGGGGGCACTATTTTTCCACCTCAACATCCAGTTTAGCAACAACAATTCATGTACATGTACATGTACCAGCAAATCAAATGTATTGTAATTTGAACCATATCGCTTCTCACGAAGTACATACAGGTGCATTAATATACATTACATGCCTCTATTATACAAGAAGTATGAATTGTGCACATACACATGTACGTGTATTGGGGGGGGGGGGAGGAGGAGGCAATACACTGACAATCTTATGTTTTATTTTAATACAGATGATGTTCATGTTTGGGGCTTTAGCATTATGAAATCACACATCAGGCAATAAAATACATATTACATGTATAGCAAAGAGTGATTACAATGTAGAAATCTGACAAATTACATTGCAGGTCAATCTGTATCAAAAAATAAAAAAATAAAAAAATAAAAAAAATAAACTATAAATAAACTATAAACAAAGCACAATAACAAACTACAAACAGTACTGAAGAAAAAAAAATCTATTTTCTAAAATGCAAATCCCCCCAAAAAGCTTATATGCAATCAGAAGATTATATTTTTCACTGTGACAATATCAAAGGGGATTACATTTCAATGGAGGCAACATACTGATTGAAATGTGGAACAGTACTGAACGTAACTGTGCCAAGCAATTGAAAGAGCATTGGCAACCAGTTCACACATGATTGCAATATAATGTACAACAGGGACAGTTTAATAAATACTTGATGCCATCTGCTAATAACTCATGTCACAAATTGCTCCAGTTCCATTATCCTTGAATTATAGTTGAGATTTGAAACTGAATTTGTAAACATCATTTCACATGCTCTTTATTACAAAATGTACAACATGAATTGCTAAATATTGATTGAAACAAATTATGTTTGAGACACCATTACATGTGCTACATGTACATGTATACTGTATATTACAAAAAGTACACCATAAATTGTTACATGTACATGTACATACCGGTAATCATTGAAAAACAAATGTTTGAGTCATCGTTTCATGTGCTCTTTATTACAAAAATGAACTACATACATGTACATTGTTACATACAGTGTATGATTGAGAGACAAAATTTTTTTGTTTTTGCTATTACGGTAAGTTTGTCTGGGGGAAGAAGTAAGAAAAGCATTCAATGCTTCCCTTCTCCCTTGAATTCACTTGTGAATCTAATACATATTAGTTGTATTTCAAAGAACACTGTCTGGGAACATCACATTGCCTGAATATACATGTACCTGTAGGTAGTGTGGTACTATGAAGTACATGTAGTGCCAGACAACTCTCCTATTTTTTCCAACACATAAAACAACTATTAAAAATGTCTTCTTTTTTTCCTCAATAACTGTGACTTACATGTACATGTACATGTAGGATGCTCTTTTCTGATTAGAGGACCTTTAATAATATTATCCATCGAGTAATGCTCCAAGGGAAAAGGCACTTGGGAGATTGCTTTTTTTTAATGCGATAACGTGACTACATTATAATCCATTGTCAAAATTGCCAATTTGAGATTTGCATACAAGTACTGTACATATATTGCTTGAAATAAAGTGGACTAACATATTACCACCAAGTCACATGGTGATCTCATATTTCAAACATTCATAACTCTCTATATTATTGGTCTGATCTATTTCAAACTTTCACCATCCTCATGCTCTTGTTTTTTCTGTTATCATACAAATGAACTTTATTACAAGGGTTGGATTGCCCTTTAACTCATTTACATAATGACTGCCAGACTTTACATACAATTGTACATGTACACATGTGTACCGGTATCTAAGTAATTATGGATTTGTGGGTGTGGTTATGTTTTTTTTCTTCAAATGACATAACAAATATTTAGGTAGTGATTGGCTCCTTTAAAGCAAAAAAATATAAAAGTTTTGAAAAGCATGTTGTCCCTCTCGGTTCTAACAGTGTATTAATTACTTGATAACCCAACCTTTTTCAGTGGAAACCGACAAACCCGCACAGGAAAAGGATATTGGTCACAGGGGGATGTGGTGGCAAAGGTACATGAGGACATGTTCTTGGATTATAAACAAACATATATTTGGTACAAGCAAAACTACATGTACTTTCAAAGTATTAGATATGTTCCTTTTTTTCTTTGTTTTGGTTCAATTATTATTATTTTTTTAAATAAAAAAACTTTTTGTTGTTGTGACTTGTTTGTCTTCTAGTATTTTTATTTACATGTAGTTGTCCAGGGCACCCAGGCACATGCTGTTGTCAAGCCTTATTAATGGAGACCTGAGAGCAACAAAGGGCATAAGGGCCATTTACACTTGCATCCAAACACGCCCCACAAATGCCAAATTGGAGCCTGACCGCGATGTTCCAGTGATGTTACCAAGGCAACTCACTTTACCGGCAAAAATGCCAAGCCCGAAACATTTCAATCCGAAGTGTGATTTTGGGGCATGATTTGGCTGTTTGGCGAATATAAATGCTCGCAGCTGAAACATAGCGATGTTAGGTCACGAGACTTAAGAAGCGGGTCTAGCTTTCGTCCTTGAGGCATTATTTGGATAAAGTAAAATGACTTGTTTATGCTGACCCGCTATGAGAGAGTCCCAGCTAAACTGTAAAATCTCGCTCTAGAAACCACTGTACAACCAAAACACGCCAAAACATCACTGAGCTTTTCAGTTGGTGATGTTTCAGCGTAAAGTGTAAACAGGAGCGCAAAACATCGCAATTTTTTAAAATGAGGTACAATGTATTTGACAGTATAAATGCGCCTGAGAGAAGAAATATTACTTCATCAGAGGATGGACTGACGTTCAAGGGAAATGAATGCACCATCTGTGGGGGCGGTGGAAAGGAATGTGAATTGAGCCATCAGTTTTGAGAGGGAATATATTTCTCCTCCCACACAATGTACATGTTGGCCTTCATGTAGAATATAGTCCTGTATTATTAAAGGCCTAGCAACACTACAGAGTAGGCCTACTCCTACATTGTACTTGTAGTTGTAGGCTTGTATGCATGATTGCACAGTTTAGATTGTGGATTCAGTTTGTAAATGCAATGGGAACAGGAAACAGAAAATGCAGTATATTTGTACATTTGCAGTATATAAATTGCATTCCTTGCAAGTACAATGTAGTACTTCTTTGATATTCGCTGCATATAATGTGTATGTACATGGACATGTCAAACTACACTATACTGTACAATTAGGTGCATACAGAGGTCTATAATACCAGTATTATTCAAGTGTATTCTACAATGCATCAATAAATGCCTCTATTGATTGTTTAGTCATCCAGACTAATAGCTAATAAAGAAATTGCTTGTGTACAGAAATCATGCAAGTACACATGTACAGTATATACATACGCGGTGATCAGTTTATCTTAATTTAACAAAAACCTTTATACATGTATAGTATATCACACAATCAGGGCAGATTCTCCTTTAAAAGGTAAACCTTACACATATCAATAGGGATGATCAGCTACATTTTGTTAACATTTCTTCTTCAAAAAGGCTTTTGTACTGCAGTACTTAATAGTAAATGAAATGGCAGGCCTCTCTTATTTTTACTGTCATGAAAGATCAGACTTTGTGTTTGCACACTGGAGCAATTCAGGCTGTTTATTCAATGCTTGATTTGAGCGAATACTTCTTGTCTTCATGTCCAATGCACAATAACAAAAGAAAAGTGCACACCCCAAGTAAAATCCCCTAAGAACAGTGAGTGTGTAGGCCTACACTACATGTATGATGCAAGTAAGAACTTTAGATCCGGAAGCCATAATATAAACATACTATGCTGTACACTGTAGACATGATACTTTTCACTTTTTATAGAATGATTCAAGATTTTTGCAACCTGACAGAATGTGCTTTTCATACATGTATATGAGCATTAATTGTACATGTAGGCTACATGTATATAAATGTAACAAAAGCACTGTAAACAGAACTTGTGTGTGCCATGCGTGTTCAGGTTGGAGAGGGAGGGGGAGGGGGAGGGGGAGGGGGAGGGGGAGGGGGAGGGGGAGGGGGAGGGGGAGGGGGAGGGGGAGGGGGAGGGGGAGGGGGAGGGGGAGGGGGAGGGGAGGGGGAGGGGGAGGGGGAGGGGGAGGGGAGGGGGAGGGGGAGGGGGAGGGGAGCGGGAGGGGGCGTGGCCAGGATGCCTTATCTATTACAATATGCCCTCACCCCCAGTAATGTTTGGTATCCCTTAATAAAAATTCAAACAAATCTAAAATTCTTTGTTACTATAACCAGGGACGTGATAGAGAAGGACTGGAATCAAGCCGCTCTCCTTTGACCCCATGCTCCACGCCGCCGAAAAGTTATGCGCTAATCTGCAACTGTTGACCAGGTGGTGAGATAAAAGAGCGCATGAAATTTCAGGATTTAGAATTCCTACATCAGAAATGGTATCACAGCAACTGTTCCCCGTCCCTTTCAATGATTTCTCATCAATTGTTAAATGTGTAATGAGTAGAACAAGCGAACAAAAACTTTTTTTCATCCTTTCTTTCACCTCCCTGCTATAACTAATGTAAATATCCTTTGGGGAAACAGTACATGTACAATACATGTACAGGTACATGTACATTGTACATGTGTACGCCTAGTCTCCTACAATTTCAAAGTGACATACCTGTACATGTACCGGTAAATGTAAAATGTACTTGTACATGTTATGATTATCCCTATCTGACTCACTCTGATGAATCTACGTACCGTACACATACAATGTAAATATAGTGGTGATCAAGACTCCCATTTGTTCCAACACAAGAAATTATGTACCGGTAAACATAATTTTTTAATGTAAGTACGTGTATGACACTTTTGGATATTTCCTTACAATTTCAAGTTTTAGGAGGACCTACTCTACTGTCACCATGTACAGTACAAGCTTAAATAGCTGTATTAATATATTCATTCATAAGTTAATACGGAAAGTTGAGGAATCCCTACATTTAGCATCAACACTTTCAAACACAGTGGAACCAAACCCACCACAGTTTACTGATTTAATGAAGTTTAGAATACTGACACTTAATTAATGAAATCAACTGATCGATGTTGTGAAGGAAAATACATACATACATGTATCTTAGTCACTGTTGTGGGGCCCTCAAATCTCTGTTTTGAATGATTAAGTTCAACAAAGAAATCAGCCAGTAAAAATTTGGTCTCTATACTCCTTTGTATATATTGTGAATACAAAAAAAGAAAAAAAATGGTGGTCAATATAGCTTTACAGACCGAGTTTCTAATAACACACAGCAGGTTAAAAAGATATTAAGTGTTTTTATCTTTGTTTTTGAGATATTATTTTGACCTGCAGATTTTTTTTATTACAATGGATATGTCAGAACTAATTTTGCAATATCAAAGCATAAGACTGAATTTTCATTTTTAAACTGATTTTGAGTTTAAAAGTATTTGAAAGACTAACATGTATTTATCCTGCATTAATTTTGTAGGTCTACATGCAATAGATCACTAACTCAAAATACATTGCTCATTGGTAGTGTACATGTAGTTGTCAATTTGCATACATGTACTTTAGGCCTACATCTTTTTAAAAGTGCCTAGATTCAACCTTTCCGTCCTCTTCTTTTTCATCTATTACTTTTTTTATTCTTCTTCTTCTTTTCTCCTCCTTTTTCTTCTTCTTCATCTTCTACCATTTTTGTTTCCTTCTTTTTCTTGGTCTTGTTTTCTTTTCCTACTCCTCTCCCTCTTCTTCTTCTTCTCCTTCATCTTCTTTCTTCTTGTAGAACTACATCTAGTACAATACCTCTTGAATCAACCATCATTTCCTTCTTCTTGTTCTTTTTCTTCATCTCGTCTAGATCTAGGTGTTGGGACACTTAACAAACATTTGAAGCCTTCCGTTTTACTTTTACCTTCAGATTGATAGATGAATATTTATCAATCACAATAACCATCATAAATATTTGTGCTTTATATTATTGTCAAACATAAGACGATAAGTCATAGAATTAGAACAATGATTTAGATCTAAGAAAAATTGAAATAGTAGTAGACCTACTGCCTTTTTTAATACTTTACTTTAGATCTACTGTTTGAATCAGCTTTCGGGATGACTGTTTAGCAAATTCATCTTCCAAACATTTATAAACTTCTTCCAATTATCTGATTTCTTCAAAACATTCAATATCCTGTTTCTCTTGCTCTTTCTGCTTTCAAAAAAGGTGATTGCCCTTTTTGAATATCAAGTGAAACATAGACCATACATCATATGTAAATACACGGGGCTACAGCATACGCTCGTACACAAAACCCAATCACACAGATGCGAAAGCAAAACAACATTTAAACAAAAAAGCTTTATATTCCTTTCCTTACCTCTGTAGTAGTTGCGATGAACCCAATAAATATTTCACAATTCACACAGAAAATGAAAGGGAAATTCTGTAAATCCTTTTATAATCATCCAATCTTAGACAGTCGATGATGGTCGTGGCTCGAACTTTTTCTCCGCACACCCAATAATCAATCACTCCTGAATATTCATGAGATGTTAATTTTCGACTTTTGCCTGAATGCATTCACTTTGAAGTTTATTGTTGCTGAGCGACTTGATCAACTTATCCCATTATTTGTCAGTCAATTATTGATTTATTCTTTAAGAATGCATTATAATCGCTCCCAATAAGAATCAATAGCTGATATTGACATGTAGCCGATAGACCCTTCCCAATCGGAACTGGGGGTCTAGCTAGCCTATATATAGTTGTTTTTAAACGCAAATGTAATTTGATACGCTATATGAAAAATATCTATAATAGTGTTACAGAAATTGGATGCTCGAACGATTAAAAAGGGAGGTCTGAATTGGAGACTAGCTTTAATTTGGGCGAGGTTTTTGGGAGTGTGTAAAAGTTTGGAGCTGAGGCCGAAGTAGTTTGGGACAGACAGATTCTGTGAGAACTTAGAGTTAGGAGCTGGGAGGATGTTGCTCGGGAGCATCATCGATTAGCCAAAGGGCAAGAACTAGTATAAATGTGAGTTAAGTGTAACTGTTATTAGGTTGTGGCAAGTAAATATTGGATATCACCACCATGTTTCTTGTGAATAAACATCAGTTACTTAAAAATCATTGTTCGATAACTCCTTTCTCTCAGAGACTGTAATTGTATGTGTGTATGACTTGGCCCTGGCCTTGCGTGAGCATTAATTTAGGCTAGACTAAACATCTACCCCTGCAGTCTTTAAATTCCCCATATTCTTATAAAAGAATTCCCAAAAGTTATTACACTGGTGTCAGAAGTGGGATTTGAAAGGTGGAATTTTAGAAGATTGTTAGGTCTAGTTAGGGAATAAGTCATATTTTGATTGTAGTATAAAGTTAAGATAGGTCAATGGCAGTAGCCTACGTTCATTGTCATTGGCATCGTACACCACTGCACTGCAAAAGCTCTGTGTGTATACGGGGAGCAACGCGTTGTAGTGGTGTGTGTGTGTGTGTGTAGTAATGTTTTAGGATCGGTGCAAGTGCATGTGCTGCACTGAGCAAAGGGAAAGTTGGTAGTCCCGCAGGCTAGATACAGCTAGTCTTGCTTTGCAGACCCGATAAGCTACTTTTGTTTGGGGAAGTTAAGATATAACTTAGTAGTAAATTTAGTCACTTTAGGTAACTTATTTTGATGGGATTGTTTTATTTGCCATTTAACTAATTAAATAATTTTAATCCCCTTTAGGATTATATTTTCTTCATTGGATTTTATTGTGGAAAAGTTTAAACTATACTGAACCTGACGTGAAATTTGTATAGGGATTTTAAATACAGTAGCCTTATAGTTTCCATTTATAAAACTTCTAAATAAAGCAAGAGTAGGCTCATGAAAGTAACAGGGGTTTAGGGTGATACACAGTTGTTGAAGTGACTATCGACTCTCAACCATGCATCGTTCACGGATCTCGTCACGTACGCGTACAAGAGGGAGGGGTCGCCTTTCGAGTCCTCTAGGAGTTGGCGCCCTCCTACAAGCGTTTGAGAAGTTTGCGGAAAGTGCCGTCAGTAACCAGGCTGAAATTATAGCGCACCTTGACAGATCTTCCACAGCACAGCAGGGTATTGAAAGGCGTCTGCAGGTGCTGGAAGCCAGAGTTGGAGACCAGAGCCCAGTGACATCACCAAGTGTTCAGAGAAAGCAAGTAGAGGCCTCAATGATGGCAGAGGGAAACGGCAACTAGTCGTGTTCGAGGAGCGGAACACGGCTAGAAATGGCAAGGCTCCTGTCATTACATCCCTGGGTGGAGAAGCAGAAGGACTCTTCCTCAGAGGGGTGATGGTTGGCAGGACACTTTTGAATCAGCATACCCAATCTTCACAAGAAGGTAATTGTGTAGGTAAATGTGAGCGAGTTGATGTTGTCATTGATGTTGAATCTCAAGAGGAAAATGTTGGAGAAGCAGGAGAAGTCACAGGCGAGTTCGCTCCGCGTTTAAGGTCGCTGCCTGAAAGAAGCAGCGTAGGATTGTCTGAGGGACAACCAGAAGAAAAGCGGGAGTTGTTACTGAGACGACAAGACCTGTTCTCCAAGGGATCCATGGACTTGGGACAGACAAGCATAGTCGCACACAAGATAGAGACGGGTGATGCTGAACCTAGTTTACCCCTAGCTAAGAGGGAGGAGGCTGTCAGAGGTATTGATGAGATGAAGTCTCAAGGAGTGATAGAGCCAGCATCAGGAGAATGGGGTTCAATGATTGTACTCGTTAAGAAAGATGGCAGTATGCGTTTTTGCGTGGAATATCGATGTTTGAATCGGGTGACAAAGAAAGATTCTTACCCGCTTCCTCGTATTGACGACATCTTAGATGCATTGACGGGCTCCCAGTGGTTTTGCGCCCTTGACCTGTATTCCGGATATTGGCATCCTCGAAGGAAGAAAGGTGTATCACCTAAATTGATGTCAGACTTGTGAGACCCTTACTCTGTTCTAAAGAAGATAAACGATGTAGTCTACAGGATCCAGTTGACGAAAAGGAGTAAACCAAGAGTGGTTCACAGAGAACGTCTTTGCAAGTACAAGGGACAGAAGGAGCCCTGGCTCCATGTAAGTGATGATAATTGTTCTTTCATTACCGTAGCAACACAAATTAGTACTGAGGAGCATTCCAAGCTCAGCGAGAGACATCAAGTGTGACAACCTGATGATGCTCTGGATGAAGAACCTTCGAGAAAAAAAAGTCACGAGCATCAGCATCGTCAAAGGAAGTCTCCCAATAGATATGGTTGGGATTAGCTGGTAACTTTGACAGCTGTGTATCACGGTTATCACATTGTCTATAATTGTAGTGGATTACATTTACACATAGTTATGGATTATTATTTTAAATCAAGGATATTGTTATGGTTAAGGACTTGGTTTTCATTAAATTCCTTGTTTGTTGGGTTTTAATGGTTATGCTTACGACTAGCTGGTTCTTTTCACATTAGCAGAGCTAGAGTGCTTGAAAGTCAGTACCTGTTTCCAGCAGGGATACAGCACAGTTCTGTGTGGGAAGTTTTCAGTGAAGTTGCTGTGTAACTGCTTATAAAACAAATATGGCAGAATTCTTTTTTTTGTATATTGAGATTATAATAAGTTTTTATAATAATATTGCCACAACCTAGTTAGTTGCATTTTCTCTTATTACGGCTATTTATATGAAAGCCAATTTTCTGCATGTGTATACCTAATATACGCATATATGGTTGTACCACTCTGGTACACCTTTTTCTGCAAAAGATGTTATTTTGTTGCAGAAATATCTACTTGGAAGCCAGAATTGGATGGCAGATTTTCTCCATCACGTAGCTGAGGCCTGACGAGCAGATAGTGAGGTACCTTACCGAGCAAGCTTCAAGCCAGGACGCGAGATGCCAGTACCGCAAGACGCCGGGATGCCGTCCCAAAGTATCTTCATGCGTGTTGGATGAGCGAATCTGGTCTCCATGGCAACGCGTGTCGGATGAGCGTATCTTGTCTCTATGGCAACACGTGTCGGATGAGCAAATCTGGTCTCCATGGCAACACGTGTCGGATGAGCGTATCTGGTCTCCATGGCAACGCGGTTCGTGTTTATAATGGTGAACAATTTTGATAATGCCATGCAATTTTATGCAGCCTTACGAAATCCATCAAACTTTGAAAACTTTTATAGTAAACACTTGCATGGACTATAAGTGGAATTTCATCTATTGCATTGATCAGAGGAACAAATAATTGGTGACAGGACTTCATTTAGCTGAAGCAACTTTGGAGACGCAAATGAACTTAAGGAGTCAAACACTTATTCCATTGTGCTGCTGAACTTTACGAATGAACCAGTTGAATGTAGAACTGAGGGACCAACATTTTGGTGTTATTAGCATTCCTCGATATCGAACTTGTGAAGAGAAACACAAATATTGTTAAGTGTTCTTATACAGGAGGATTTGTAGGAATCACATTACTATGATGTATCAAAGAGAGTAGAAAGAATGAGAAAACTGAAGTGGCTTTCTCGCATTAGGTGTAATCACAGATGAGCGATTAACTCATCTGAACTCGAAATGTGGAAATTGATTTGTGCCGTTCTGTAATAACAGATAATAGCAAATGGACGCTTTGCCTTTTTTTTTCTTCTAATGACTTAAAGTCATTTTGAAATCTATTTGAGATCATGCATGATCATGTTTTTACAAGATCAGGTTATTTTGTAAAAACAATTTTATTTTGTATAAATTCTTCTATATTGGCAGTTGAAATGAGCGTTTCCTCTTTGGCATATAAATTCAGAGTATTGTTATGTTTTTTCCAGGGTTGTACTTATGTGCTGTTGGCAACTCTAATTTTGCTAACCAAACCAGTTTAAAATGAACCGAGATATCCCATTTGTTGTTACCAAAGAGGACGAATATCAAACTTGATGGTTATACCAGAATAACCTTTAACTTTTGCCATATTTAAAGGTGATATTGAAAAAAAAAAAAAAAAAATGTTTTTGTTTATATCCAGTTTTTTTTGTTCTATAGTGATTATTACTTAAGTGTGCAACAGGCTGAACATGTTGACCAGAGTCACCAGACTGATGTGGAACAACAATTATATTCACGTATGATGTATTTTGTTCTGGTATACTGAGAGTTGAAGTCCAGTTTATTGTATTGATATTTGAAATTTACGATCAATGATATCAGGTAAGATGCATATGCTGCATGCTTTGTCTCATTTTGCAAGTGCTTTTATGTATGCATTCGCCACAACCTAAGAATTGTTTTGTGAGGCTGAAACAAAGGTAATTTATGTATGTTTATAAATGACTGTGCCATGCTAATGTGCTACTTTAGAAATTATGATGATTTCTTTCAGGTTTTCCTATTCTGTGTTTTCCATGCTTCACATTTTTTTAATGATGTTGTTATTTTTTAGATTTAGTATTTTACATTTCTTGTTATCTTTATTGTTGTTTTACTGACAGGTTCCTGTTTTGAAGTTCCTAGTGTTGAACGAGACGTTCAAAGTTAAGGAGGGGGCAGTGTTACAGAAATTGGATGCTCGAACGATTAAAAAGGGAGGTCTGAATTGGAGACTAGCTTTAATTTGGGCGAGGTTTTTGGGAGTGTGTAAAAGTTTGGAGCTGAGGCCGAAGTAGTTTGGGACAGACAGATTCTGTGAGAACTTAGAGTTAGGAGCTGGGAGGATGTTGCTCGGGAGCATCATCGATTAGCCAAAGGGCAAGAACTAGTATAAATGTGAGTTAAGTGTAACTGTTATTAGGTTGTGGCAAGTAAATATTGGATATCACCACCATGTTTCTTGTGAATAAACATCAGTTACTTAAAAATCATTGTTCGATAACTCCTTTCTCTCAGAGACTGTAATTGTATGTGTGTATGACTTGGCCCTGGCCTTGCGTGAGCATTAATTTAGGCTAGACTAAACATCTACCCCTGCAGTCTTTAAATTCCCCATATTCTTATAAAAGAATTCCCAAAAGTTATTACAATATGTATAAAGAATGAGTGATTCCGTGCTTCGAAATATAGCTCCATGTACTCACTAAATTTTACCTTATGAATCTAAAATAGGAGTTAACTATATAAGCAAATGTGCTTACTTAATTGTGGGTCATATATTTTTTGAAGAATTAATGCTTCGAGGTCGGACATTCATTTACATGGAAGTGAATTATAAAAATAAGTGATTGGCCCTATCAAAAAATGAAGTGATCTGTTTCAAAGAGGGTCGAAGTATACTGGCCAGGCAAAGCACAACATATGCACCCGCCCCCCCCCCCCCCTTGAAAAACAAAGGGCCCTTTCTGATTTAAGGGAAAATGTAAATTAATGGGAATGTAATTATAATATTGGGTGTCTTTACAGTATTTGGTTTTCATCACATGATTAATAAAATTATGTTTCAAGAAGAAGAAAAAAAGATAATCTATTCGACAGGCAATCTTTATGTATATCAATTCAAGTGAACCTATAAAATCTTGAATATTGCAATAAGGATTCAGGGAAGTTATATGAGGGCGCTAGACCGTTTTGTGTTTAATGAACGAGAGCCTAATATTGTTGGAAATGGATGAAAAGAGATGATTTTTAAGTACACACCGGGGAGCATTGCTATACATTAGGCCCTTTTTAAGGATAATAATGAGGGATGTGCATGTGTGTGAGGGGGGGGGGGGTGGTTGAGGATCGGTCTAAAATATGGTAGTATATTTTGCAAGTTATGAGGGGGGGGGGGGGGGGGGGGACTGCCGTGATACGGGCCGAAAGTCAATCAATTCAAGGAATACACGTATGTTCAAGAAACATTGACACCCCCCCCCCCATCTCCTCCAATTTGGGGAAAATATCCTTCAGATGAAACCCCTCCAATTTTGTATCTGTAGCAAGATTGTGGTCTATACGGTGGATCAATAATAAAGTCTTCGAATTGTGAACATAAATGTACGGGGTTCGAATCCCGTGAGGCAGCATTATTCTTTTGCCACAGTCGACCTAACTCGTACCAAGTGGGTATATGCCTATCCAATAGGATTTATTCCTCGAATGCACAGAGTGCTATTATATTGCCGGAAAAGCTAAAGCCGAGGAATTACTATTCTAAATTCCTTCACAATAGCGCATAATGCGCTATGCAAGAACGGCATAACAAGTTGTTAATAATAAACTGTAGGCACGTAGGTCTATTGCTCAGATATACTTTATGCCGAACTAGATATTCGTGGTGACACACAACCATCCCTAAACATGGGTCCCATTAAATTGACAAAAATATCTCTAAACATTGGTCGGTTTTTTCTAAATTTCCAAAATTGTCAGCTGTTTTATCCATGGCAAACAGCCGAAAATGGTGAAAAGGGGGCTTTACTTCGAGAAAAATCCCCCCAAACTGACCCTTAAAAATGGGTGGGGGTTTTGAGGCTTGAGCGGCACACCCTGGTCCAAACCAAATCTGAGTACCCCCTACATAAACTTTGTTAGGCCTACGGGTGTCTATTTTGGTGCTTGTCAGATATTTTGTGACCGATAGATCTCAGACCCGTGTATACGTCTATTTATACCAAGAAGTTGTAACAATTTTTTTTCTCTCTCCTCTTTTCATGAAATGATTGTGAGAATTATTCTTTATTTTTGGTCTAGTTTATGTCTTCTCAAAACTGTATTGATCGATCTTCATGACTATTTAAATTGATTTATAAAGTTCTGCGAAAATGTTAATTTTATCTATCAAGAATAAATCATATTCTCACAATCTCTTCATAAAAAGAGTATGAAATAATAAAAATTAATTCCAACTCTCTGGGCAACGGTGTATAAATTATGTGCGCTCTAAAGTGAAATGTTTTCCAAAATCGCTTTCCAATATTGTGATTAAGTTCCAAGCGATTCTCCTTACTACACTTATCTTAACTCAAAATCTTTAGTCAACCATCCCAGTATACTCCCGTCGTTTTTCACATGGTAGAGAGAGAGAGAGAGAGAGAGAGAGGTTAGATAGGGGGTAAATGTATGTGTGTGTGCGTGTGTGTGTGTGTGAGTGTGTGCAGGTAAGGGATGGGCAAAATGATTATGATTTTATAGATAAAGAATTAAAAGAAATATTTGTTAGACCAAGAATTACTATACTCATTAGAAAACAACGTGAATTTCAATTTAAATTATTGCATGGAGCCATGTATACACTAATGAGCATCTTCATAGATTTGGTTTTGTTGGTGATAATTTATGTTCGTTTTGTAAGCAGGAAATAGAAACATACAAACATTTATTTTTATCTTGTGGGAGCGTTCAAAGGTTATGGCAGGCTTTAATACAACTTTTTGAGTTAGATGAAATTAAAGATTTAGAATGGCGAGATATATTTGTTGGGTTGGTAGGTAGTTCATATAGAATAAAAATGTGTAATACTATCATTTTCATGGTGAAGTATGTTACATTTATGTCAAGATCGGGGGGGGGGGGCGAGTACTAACTTTAGAAAAGATGAAAAAAAGCATTTTTAAGTATAGGGATGAAGAAAAGAAAATAGCAATTAAAATGGGAAAGCTAGGATCACATTTTTTAAAGTGGGAGCAGCTTAAGATTAAGATTTGCTTTCTTCTCCACCGTGAGCTTGTTAAAAGCGTAACTCGATTTTGCGGCCTGGATAACTTATTTAGTATATTTTTCTTAAGTTGAGAATGTTGGCAGACATCCACTGAGTGAGTACTGTGTGTGTGTGTGTGGGGGGGGGGGGTGGGTGGGTGGGTGGGTGAGTATGTGTGTGAGTGGGTGAGTATGTTTGTGTGATAGAGGGTGAGTATGTCTGTGTGATGTAGGGGGCAGGGAGGGGGCAGGATTGTTTCAGTAAAATTATCTCCAGATTTGTTTTTTTGTGTAATATATAAGTAAATAACATTTACAATTGACATATTATGTTTAGGTACTTATACGTTTACTTTGTTGCTAAGTTATATTATACTGCAAATAAGTTTGTGTTTAATTATGTTTATGTAAAAGCATCAATATTGAACACGTTTATTTTATTCAATTGTATGTCATGGTTTGTATTACACATCTGGAGAAATAAAACAAAATTGTTAAAAAAAAAGAAAAAAGTGTGCGTGTGTGTGAGAGAGAGACATATAGAGAAAGAGGGGGGAGGGAGAAGAAAGAGCAATAAAAGGGAGAGAAAGAGATGTGAGAGATATATAATATATATAGAGAGATAGAGAAAGAGAGGAGAGAGAAAGTGAGAGAGAGAGAGAGAAGAGAGAAAGAGAGAGAGAGGAGACAAAGAAAGACAGAGAGAGAGAGAGAGAGAGAGAGAGATAGAGGGGATAGAAAGTGAGAGATATAAAGAGAGAGATAGAGAGGTGGGGGGGGGGGTAGGAACGAAATTCATGAAGGGAGAGAGAAAGAGGGGAGAGGATGAGAAAGAGAGGTGTGAGTGAGAAAGAGAGAGAGGGAGAGAGAGAGAGAGAGAGAGAGAGAGAGAAAGAGAGAGGCTTAGAGAAATGTACCACTAATTAAATGTCAATAGTTATTCCAAAATACAAACACACACACACACACACACACACATGCATGTTCAAACATAACATCACTGGAAGGTCTTACATTTCTAGTTTTTCTGGGCATTAAAATAGGGGGGGGGGGGTATTCAATTCAATACTTGAGTACCAAATTTAAGGTGTTTTACTTAGTATTTGATTTGGCTTAGATAAAATACTTAGCCAATTGGGGTATTCAGTTCAAAGTTTTGACCAAGTATTCTACCCTAAATTTAAGACAGCTCCCTAATAGACTTAAGCCAATTATTTGGAGGCCTTGATTGGCAGGCATATGGTTTTTTTATGCAATACCATAACCTACGCACAGTTATATTAGCGCGCATTTATTGCGAAGCGTTAATTGCGCATTACTTTTGATTGACCGTGTGGTGTCACGATGCTTAGGCAGAAGAAAAAAAAGATGTTGTATTGCCGTTTAGGTGCCAAAACATGGGTCGGTCGGTCGAAAATCTTTTTTAAAAAAAATGATTTCCCTCTTTTGGCTGATATTTCTCAATTTTGGATGCTTTATTACATTTTGTTCTTGTAAAACACGGTAAAAAAAATTAAACAAATTAAAAGGCGACCATAGATTTCAAGATTTCGGAGTCGGTTGCAAAGGGCAATACAAAATCTTTTTATAGGCCTTATCAGTAAGTATTTTACTTAGATTTTGTCTCATGTAAGTAAAAGTCTAAAATGCGATTTGAATACGAGATAAGTAAACATCTGCTACTTTACAGTTCATTCTAACTCAACCCACAGTAATGAATTTAAACACATTTAACCATAGCTTTGTATTCTGTTTATTAAAGACAATTACCATCAATTTACAGTTATTGTAACAGAAAAACTCTTGCCAATGCAGATACAAATATATATATATACATTTGTATATATTTATATACAATTTACAAACATATTGAATACAACTTGCAATTCATACAAGGTGGATTTTTGTTGTTGTAATGAACAACATTTTATATACATTCTGCTTGAGGACGGAGTTATTGATTTGCAGATTCCGCAATCAAAAACAGATAATCTTTTAATTTCTAAACTTTCAAATACTATTTTTCCTCCTTGTCACCATAGCCCTACACAGACCAAATACTAGCTGCAGGATTGGAGAGATATAGAAAGTACTTCAATGCCAAGCCTATACATATTTACAGTGTATGAGATGACTGTCCAAATCCCTATTAATTGACATAAAACTCACAATCCAAGCAACAATGTTATTTCAATAAAAGAAAAAGAAAGTTAATCAGTCCTTATCACAAAATAGGATGAAGAATTGAACTAATGCTAATCTGGAACAATTAAATATAATAATCAACAGAGGACAAATGATAGGGGTTAACAATTAAGTCACATGACTCGCTACATCATTTAAATGATGATTTATGTATATTGGTTCTTAAAATCATCAGAAAATAAAGACACCACATGATGCTCAACAAACACAATTTTTGTGTCAATAAACAATTATAGTTTGCAATCATCATAATATAAGAAAAAGAAGAAATAAAAATAAGATATTTGATTGGCCTGTATCAAAGCAAATTCCACATAACATCTAGCAATCTTTTTCTCTATGTGTGACTACATGTGGTTGATGTTTCTCAAGTTTTTAAATCAAGCTTATGTTAGAAATTCTCAAGATATGCACAATAATACAGTGAGGTACAGTGAACACAAAGTTGCTACAAAATCCACACAAGTAAAATGGAGTCAAATGGTGGTGCTTCGTACCATCGTTTCGAATAATACATACATTTTTGGTGACCTGTTCAGATATCGGAACAATGATGAAAAGGCAGCAACAATGGTCACATTAAATATGAGTATAAATACCATTACATTTTCACAAGCAATTTATATTTTGCTGAGAAATGGATACCTTTTAACGAATATGAAAAAAAAATGAGTACATACCCACAGAAGGCTTTTTATCAACATCTATCTGAAGTACCTTCAAATGGGCAATGTTAAAATGGTTACAATAGGCCAGTTTACAGAATGTAAGTAATTTGGTACATGCATTTAATTAATAGAAATTGGAATGACCACGCTTTCAAGGCAAATTCATCAATAGGAAAAACATTCTATAGGTGGAAGGACTATGTCTTCAAGACTGTTAAGTGCTTTATGCGATCTGAGGAGATTTGCGTGCTGACATGTGCTGCCTCCTGACAGGGTGGGCCTTGTCTATGACTGGCCTAGCGAGGGCCTCCTTCAGCTTGGCCTGGTATTCTGCCTCCGTCTCCAGCCCGTGGAGGTACTCGCGGTACTCCTCATCCTTAGCCTGCTCCTGCTGTCTGTTGGTGTACTCCATCTGTCCCAGGAGGTTCTGTTCGTAGTTCTTGTTGGCGGCTAGGATCGCAGCCTGCTTTTCATCGTCAAGTCTCTTGTGTTCCTCCATGGCAGCCTGCATGGCCTCCCTCTCTTTGGCCAGCTCGGCCTGCGCGTTTGCGTTGGCGGCCACTGATTCAAAAGAAGAAAAAAAATGATTAAAGGTAAAGATCAGTTTTGGAAGTGCCCCCTCTCAAAAAATGAAATGGAAGCTCTTATTACCAATCATGTGAAAGAATTATGTTTTGACTAATACGTGATGATACAAATTTTGCAGAAAAAACGCCTACTAATTGATATATTTGGTAAATTATTATATCTATTTGGACCTGATAGATATCGCGCACGTGTCGGGTACGTGTCGCATAGTCCCATATACACCTTTCTGTATACAGTGCTTGTAACTTTACCAAGACTGGGCTAAATTTCTTATCATTTTGATGATTCCAGAACCTTGCAGTATACACAAATACTTATATGCTAGATGATCAACCTTTTCTGATTGATTCCACGTTTCTTTCACAATGCAATCGCATGACCATAACTTGTCTTTATCTTTAAGAATGTATCAATACATTCAGCATTCAATCTTTCCGTAGTCCATAACTATTTCAAAGTATTGATCTAATGTTTTCCAAATAGAAAAACAGAAGCCTTCTCCTTTTCTTGAGAGCAACATATTTGGGGGCACAAATGCAATTTTTTAAACATTTGATATAATTTTACACCTCTCAAGATACATTTGCTCTTAGTAAGTTGCATTTACGAACTGTACAGCTAAACTGAAGGAAATATTCAGAAAATGAATTTGTTTTTTCAGTCCATAAATTTCAATAAATCGTATATCCATCCTATCATCATCATCATCTTCTTCTTCATCATCATTGTCACTGCCATCATCACCCTCCTCTTCCTCCACTTTTTTTCCTTCTTCTTTTCTTCTCTGTCTTTTTCTTCTTCTCCTTCTTCTTCTCTTTGTCTCTCCTACTTCTTATTCTTCTTCAACACTGCCATCACTACCTTCAACACCACCACCACCACTTCACATTATGAATTAAGTTCTGCTTACATCTTTCTTCCACCTGCTGTCTCCTAATCGCCAGCACCTCTTCCATGAGTCTCTTGCGGGCGTTGCGCTCCTTGGCCCATTGAGATAGCCTCTTCTGCCACTGTCTCTCCACCTCGGCTGAGATCATGCGGTCGATCTCTGCTTCCCGCTGCTGCTCAAGCCGCATCTGTTCTTGGAGGTACTTGCGGTAGCGCTGGTCCTCTTGCCTGAGTTCTTTCTGTTTCGGCACAAGCAGGAAAGAAATTTGATGACTGTATATCCCCCAAAAATTATTTTAAAGGCCCACTGTACTACTTGTAGCTACTTGCTTCCTCTATATAGAAATTTTGCCTGATGGATGACCATTGGCCCCCCATGATCCTCTTTTTCTTATGTTAATTGAGAGCTGAGTTGATGAGAAAGCCACCTGTCAGTGACCATCCTGTGTGGTCTAATCCCTTCTTTCCAAACTAGTACAGATAAGCTTTAATTAACAAAGCTGGTATTGTATAACAAGATGTTAAGCTAAACAAAAATTTGTTGTCACAGGTAAAATACATGGACCATTTAATATCAATTGTGATAAAACTATACGGATCAATGATTGAAGTTCCTTTTTCTCCTCACAACAAATATGGAGATGAAACTATATGAATCAATGATGGCCTTTACTGAAATTATTCTTCATAAAAATGGCAGTCATAATTCAATTTTGTAACCTTGACTTTAATAATAATTATATTTGCTTTATATAGCGCCTAACACTTACATTATCAGAAGTCTCTAAGCCTCTACAATAATGCAGCATCATTACCCTGGCTTTAGCAGTGCAGCTGTTACGCAGCTGTTACGTGGCAAATGTTGATTTTTTTTAAAATTTAAATTTAAATTTGAGGCTAATAAAGAGCAAGAAATGAAATGAAAATGAAATAACTGACCTTTCTCTGTGTAATCTCCATGGCCTCGTTCCTGGACTCTTCCAGGAGTTTCTCCAGGATCTTCATGTCAAGGGCCAACTCCTCCTGCACCTCCTTGGCCATCCTCTTGGCCTTGAGCTTGATGTTCTGGTCCAGGCCATCTCGCATCTCCTGCTGAAGCGCCCTCTTCTCAGCCATGGCACGCTGCTCCTCCAGCTTCCTCAGAGCAGCCTCCTCTTTCTGCGGGAGGAAAGGATGCAATGCATTAAAGATAAAGTTGAGTTCTGGTCATGCGATTACATTGTGAAGGAAAAGGTATAGAATGGATGAGAAAAAGTTGATCATGTAGCATGTAAGTATTATCTTTAAAGGCATCGTATAACAATGTTAAATCTGAGATGAATGGCCCTACGTGTATTGTTTCGTTGATGCTCAGACAAAGACGAAAGACTTCATGCATGGCTGATTGTTTACGACACAGAATTAAGTCTTTTGTCAATTCTGCTTATCGCTACGGCAGGCAGCCAGTAAAAACGAACTTCTTAAATCAAATTATGGAAATGCAAACATCACTTTAAATAAACAGAACTTTATTATTCCTTGCTCATTTTTCCTGATTGAGGTGTCATATAAAAGGGCAGAAACAGAACTTTTTAGAAATTTGATTTTCTCTTTGAAATTTAGATACCGCCCGCCAAATGATTTTTTGGTTTCCTCTCTTCAAATTGTTTTTAATCACTCATGCGTGAAATATGTGTCATACGAGTTGTATCAAATGAAAGAGGAGGGTCTAAGCTTTACAAATATGTGTTATTTATTAATTATAATGGTGATTAAGTTATGATGAAACATTGATGAATCTCAGTTTCGTTTTTTCTGGGACGCACTGTACTTGAATCCATGGTGTAATTTTGAGTGGTAGACATCAATTTGCATTTCACTTTTTTTGAAGCTCTAAGCCTTCATTTGAATGCTTGATTTGACCCTCACATAAATTTGGGAATCATCCATAACTGCAGAGTGTATAGAAATGTTTTTTTTTGGTGCTAAATATCCATTAGCATTAAACCTTTCTACATGAATTGGAACTACAGACTACATACTAATCATGATAGTGCTGTGATATCGAAAAATATCAAAATTCCATCACATTTCAAATTGTTTTATTTGTGGCCTATGACACACACAAAGTTGATATCATCAGATATTTATATTAACTTCATATAGGGTATAAGTTTTAAGATATTGTTAGAGATAAAAAGCTCCCAATATATATTTCAACTAAGGGGATGGGGGGGGGGGGGGGGATTGTGGAACTTTCAAAATTATTTGGGTCAGGCATAATTCTTAAAAGTAATTTTTTTGGGGAACCCAGGATCTATTTTCCCCAAACCACTAGGTACATCCAATCCTTACCCTCAACTTGCCACCGTCGATCCTGAGCTGTTTCTCCTCCTGGCGCTTGGCCTCGATGGCAGCCATCTGCTTCTGGAGGACGCTCAGCATCTCCATGTTCCTGCCGTGCTGTTCCTGGGCGATCTTCTCCTCCTTGGCCTCCTTGGCCAGCCTGTCCTTCTCCCAGAGGTCCGCGTACATGCGCTCCACCTCCTGGTCGTGCGCCTGCATGCGGGCCTTGGTCTCCAGCTGGTGGCTCCGGTCCATGCACACCTCGTCCATGTGCCGTCGAGTGAGCGTGGATCGCAGCTCCTCGCATTCCTCTCTGCCAGATAAAAAATTGTGATTATTATTAAATCAAAATGTAATTATTTTGTTTGTATTTATATATCATTATGTATATGTGTATGCATCTTTGAATGTCCGAAGACAAATGTAATGTATTTGTTACATGACAATAAATTAATCTTGAATCTTCTTGAATCTTGAAGCCAAGAACAATTGAAGGATTCATTTTAAACACGGTACCAGGGTTGCTTCTAAGGTACAGCGCCAATTTCTGCTAATCTAACATACTTACAGATTTGTACAGCTTCTCCTAAGCATTATAGTGGAACAACTATTTAATAACTGAAATTGTTTGTCAAAATAAGACATTTTGATCAAACATATTTCAGGGGTGGCACAAAGCTTTCCCATAGCTATAGTTGCACTCGTTTAATATCTTCTGTCTAAAAAATTCTTACAATTCCCCCCTCCTAGTACTACGCACTTTCAGAAACATATATAAAACTATTCGTTGACCAGCAAACCAGACAAAAATGTTTTTAAACCAATTTTCTAGCAGGCTAGTGTTACTTTTGAACCTCCTGTTTAAAGGGAATTTGTATATCTTGGAAACAAAGCCTTGCATGAATTCACCAGTTAAAAAATGATATGAACATCAGCTTAGACAAAGACGCACCTCCATTTTTGATCAAGTTTTTCGGCAACAATCTTTAATCTTTCTTTCTCCCTCTTCTCCTTCAGAAACTTTGCGCGTTCCCTCATCTTCGATTGTCGCTCCAAAAGTGTTTCTTGACTTGCTTCCATCTCAACCAGGTATTGGTCATTTTCCTCTGCTAACATTTCCCTTAATCTGAGAGAGAAGAAAATGGTACACGGAATACGTTAAAAAGAAATCAGACCTAAGTAAAGAGTATCTTGGTAGGGAGCTGAAAAATTAAAAAATCAAAGAAAAATTGATGAATGATAGGAAATGTTATAAATTAATAAAATTAAGTAAAAACTGTACATACATTTCAAATTGCCACTTTGATAGTGTCACTATTCAATAGTATTGTGTCTTTTCTAACAACTCTATTCATTGCTCCTATGCAAAAAATGATTAAAAAATCTCCTTAACAAAATTATATTGCTGAGAAGGGTCTGACACCCGATCTGCCACTTAGATCATTCTACTATTTTATGGCACTGACCTCTGTCTTCTGTCTTCTAGTGAGAACTCTTCTTGCTGCATCAAGCTCCTGACCCGTCTCTTGACCGTGTTAGACTGTATCCGCCGGTCCGTGGTCTTCTCCCAGTCGTTCTTCAGGTCGCAGAGGGCGTTGTACTTTGTGGCGGCTTCCGCTTCCTCACGTTGGTCGTCTCGTTTCCTTCTTTCCAGGATGAGGTGATCTGGAGGGAGCTTGCTTGGCATCTTGGCTCTCTGTATTATAATTTATTTATATTTTGATTTATTTATTTTTATTTCAACAGGGTAGCCCCATCAGTAGTTAAAATACTGTTATACTCGGGGGGAGGGAGGGCCTGCATAACATAAAAATACATGTAAAGACAAACATGTACATAGACCCTACACATGAAAACATGACATGGTGAATAGTAAACATGATATATTAAGAACCATAAACAATCCAATTGACCTGGGTTTATGCTCTAGGACTTTATGCAACGGTCATTAATTAGGGGGCTGCACCACTTTCTTTGTCTGGATGAAAATATATCTGGTTCTCTTAATTAGTTTACCATGAGTGCAAAGTGAGGACAAACAAAATAGATGAACAAATCTGGTGCTGGTGGACATCATTTTGCTTTAAAATACCATTACTCCCTTGAACATACTATTTTACAATTCAATCAGACTAGTGTATTGCCAGTATTCATTCAAGATTCTACCAAATAATAATAATAATGATTATCTATTTAAAATCTACTACATGTAGATCTATAACAACGTGTACATGTAGATCCTCTTTCTGGCAAACTGTAAAATAGACTCTTGATTACAGTTTAAGAATGTTAGAAAGAGAGAAAAATAGATCTAGATCTAGTCAAAGGTATGGATTATGGAATTTACATGTAAAGCAAAGCAAAACTAAATCCCAAGAGTAAGAATATGCATTCAGAATGTGTTCCTTTAGAACGAAGCCACTCAATACGACCGGAAGTTTCAACAGGATCACCTCACACTTCTGTACACTGATAATAATAATAATAATAATAATAATAATAATAGCCTAATAGTCCACTCCAAATTTTATTAAACCAAAACGGAAATTCTTTTTGCCCAATTGATCGTGAGCCCGGCTGATGATAGTCATGTGCATAGACTAGTCTAGACCATGATAATGAAAACGCACCCCTATTTCCAAAAGATTTGTAAAATTGTACGAAAGTAAAAAACTTGAGTTAATTTGGCTTTTAATACACCATGCCCATTTTTCATGGCCTAGATCTAGACTATTAATCATTATTAAAAACTGTCTAAAAGTAAAATCTGCATAGAAAAAATTCTGTTCCTCATCAAGCCAGTAAAATAGGGTGTAACTGAATGGCTAGAGTGCACAAGATTCGTATAGACCTAGTTAAGACTGATGAAGACTCGATCTTCAGACAAATAAAATTGCATACTAAAAATTTCACAAAGATTCAAAGCAAAGGCAAAGCAAAGGCAATGCAAAGGCAAAATTAAGGCCAAAATCAAAGAGATGTTAACTTATAGATCTAAATCTATAATTTAAAATGTAAACGTATGTATTTGACATAGACTAAATGATCTTCAGAATATGTAGCACGAAAGGATGCAAATAAAATATTGATACTGCCCTAAATGGAATAATTTTTAAACATTTGAATTGCAACAACTAATTCGTGTTTGCATGTCCCGCAGCCCAATCAGTTATCATACTCACGATAGCTACAGAGTGGGGAGTCGGCCCGGTGAACTCCCGAGTCCGTCGAGGTTTCTGAGTGGCTAGCATCTCGACGGTTCCGGAGTTGTCAGCCCAGATATAAACGATGGTCTCTGGCCGACAAAACTGTCCTTTCAGTAACTAGTGGCTCTCTTCTATGTATTTTTTCAATGCTCTTATTGACTCTTGAAGTGTAAATTTCGACAATTATGAGATAAAACAGGGCACAAAAAAAATTGTCACAAATAAATTGTCGGAAAGTGTTGCTGCCTTACACTCACTGCTATTATTTGGGCACACACAATATATTACACACACAGCGTACACGTACCGTGCACATCTCGTGTACCGTATTTACAACACACATGTATACACACTGCACTGCACAATAATGGGCTGTTGTATGTGTGACGTCAGTTACTATAGCTACAAACCCGAGTCGTAGCGCGCGATCGCCAGCGAACCGATCCAGCGCAGACCGCTGGAGTCCGCGTCTTATCAAACGCAACCACACCAACCACATGCCACACCGATAATAACAATACAAAAAAGTCTAGATAATATGACATAAATGAAAATGGAGAGTTTCATCTCGTTTCATGTAACAACATAATCTCCTACCCTCAGTGCATACAATCGGAAAGCAAGGGGGGGGGGGGGGGGGAGGGAGAAGGGGGCGTCGCTTTGAAAAGTAGAGAGAGAGAAAGCTAGAGAGAAGGGGCGGCAATATGTGACACCCTCGATATGTTAGGATTGTTCTGTAACATATTTTGAATTATTATGAGCTTGGTTGCCAAAAAGAAAAAAAAGATAACCTTCAGAAGTTAAGTACATTTTGTTTACTTTGCTTGCTTCTAGGCAAAAGTTTTTAATATAAAATTTGAAAATTGTATCTGACTTTGGGTTGGCAAACAGATTTTGTCAAAACATCAACTTAAGTGAACTCTAATCGGCGTACTCAAATGCAATAAGGTCATAAGCTCCCTACCATCCTAAGAACATTTGGAGATAAAGATTTGAGAAAATTTAGTGAAAATCCTGCAGACCAAATTTTCGCTCAGGGGGGGGGGGGGGGGGGGGGGGGAGGGGGAGGGGGGAGGGGGGGGGGGGGGGTAAACACTTATTTTTATTTTGGTGGTTTTGTGTCTCAACGGGGGGGGGGGGTTGAGGATGAACACTCCTTTTTTCAACACCCCCCCCCCCTTAAGCGAAAAATGATTTACTTTTTTTGCCAGGGGGCCGGGGTCCATTTTGGAGGGGGAGGGGGAGGGGGGAGGGGGGGGGGGGTGGTAAACACTAATTTTTATTTTGGTGGTTTTGTGTCTCAACGGGGGGGGGGGGGAGGAGGATGAACACTCCTTTTTTTCAACATCCCCCTTGAGCGAAAAATGTTTTACTTTTTTTGCCAGGGGGCCGGGGTCCATTTTGGTAAAATTTACGTTTTTTTAAACCTGTTTTTGCGAAAGGGGGGGGGGGGGAGAAGTGGGGACGTCTTCCTCCCCCCCCCCAACCCGAGAATCCGGGCCTGCGTGATGGAGTAAACGATCGGCTCTTGCCCCCCTTTTTGAAACACAAGTGGCATACAAAACATTCTTTAAAAAATAAGTATGCAAAATTCCTTAAAATCCTTATGCCTGTTTTTTTATTTGGCTTACATATTGCTACCATTGTCTTTGCTTGCCAGTATTTTTAAAAGAAAACCGGATTGTGCCCCTTCTTTAACTAAATCACGGACATGGTCAGAATTTGAGACCAAATTCATCTTATTAGATTTCATCTACTGCAGTTGAAACGTCAGTAAGCCAGTTGCTTTGTCCCTCTTGTTTGAACGTTTGCTAGTAGATAGACCCCTGTCATATCATCATAGCTAATACGCGTTTGTATCCATATGTTATTCATTACAACAACAAAAAAGGTAAGTAAAAAAAAGATACATAAAATAGGGCTGTGTATTCTATACCACGCATAATTATGAGTATAGTAGTCTAAATTTAAAAACCGAACTGATTATGATCCGAGGCGAATCGAGGATGATGTGAGTGGAGGGGGGGGGGGGCACAAAACCGATGAACAAGAACAATCAAGGTGAGTGAGAGGAAGAAGGAGGAAGAGAAAGAGAGAGGAAAGAGTTAGAGAGAAAGAGAGAAAGAGAGAGAGAGAGAGAGACATACAGAGATAAAAGGGATGTCAACATAATTTAATTTTTTATAATTGCAAATCCGGGACTTTTGTAAATCGAAAAAAGAGGAAAAAATGACTCTTACTTTTTGCCTGTCAGAACAAAAGAAAGAAAAAAAGTCGATTCAAAATTGTGTTACCGCCACCCTTGCCAGGGGGCACTAAAAGGATTTTAAACTAGATCCGTATCTTTGTATCTAAAATTGAAAATAAGAGCAACTTTAAATCCCATTTGTTTAATCTTGCGTTTTGAAGACAGACATTCATTCATTTTTTAATTTTTGCATTTTCTTTCTTCTGTAAATGTACACGATTCTTTGTCATGATGTAATGTGTTTACCGCCACCCTTGCCAGGGGGCACTAAAAGGATTTTAAACTAGATCCGTATCTTTGTATCTAAAATTGAAAATAAGAGCAACTTTAAATCCCATTTGTTTAATCTTGCGTTTTGAAGACAGACATTCATTCATTCTTTAATTTTTGCATTTTCTTTCTTCTGTAAATGTACACGATTCTTTCATGATGTAATGTGTTTACTTAATATTTTGAAGCGCCTTGAGCATTTAATTAAAATGGATAATGGCGCTCTATAAATCTCATGTATTATTATTATTACAGTATATTTCAGTGGCGTATACATGATTTTTTCAAGGAGGGTGTTTGAAAATCAGTTTGAAAATAGCGCTCAGTGGTGGGGGGGGGGGGGGGGGAGGTAGTGAGAGAACCGATTTTTTTTTGTTTTTTTTTTTTGTTATGGCCCCCGCAAAAATCGCACCGATCGATTTTTCGCTCAGTGGGGGGAGGGGGGGGGGGGGGGGGGTTACGGAGTATACATTTTTTTTCACAAAATATTGAGGGGGGGGGGGGGGTTTAACCCCTAAAACACCCTTCCCCCCTCTGCTTACACGCCTGGTATATTAAATTTTGATAGTCTAAAGCGCACATGAGTATACCAGTATAAAAGTTTTCAAGGCAAATATAATCAGCGTGCGTCCTCATCCTCATAGATCAATCTATATTTAAAAAAAAAATCTCTTGAGTAGTGTTTTAAGAGGCTTGCCACAGGCAGTTTCCTTCCTTTTAGCAAAATATTAGTTCCTCAACTTCCTCACACAAGTGAGGAATCCGGGAGACCCTTTACATTATGTACATGTATGGTGTTATGTGATCCGATGTAGGACGCGAACTTCAATGTGGTTTGATCATCAATTGAGGTGGTACTCGAATCCGCATGCATATTCTGTAGTGTGGATATTGGCACTCATGAAAGACTTATGAAATGAAGGCACAACTATATATTAGTAGCTGACATAGGTAAACAAAGAACCAATATCCGTGATGGCTCAGGCTCCGACTTTGTCGTCATCGGGATCGTCGTTGTCGTTGTCTTCCTCAGATGATCTGACAGACGGCGAGCTGTTGGCTATTTCACATCGAATAACCATGAGTTCTTTTGTCGTTCTTGGCAATGTTCTAGGCTACAAATTCTACGAAGTTGAAGAAGTAAGATTAAAAAAAAAGATACTTTTTTTCATCCAACAGATTTCATTGAAATATTAGATATTGTTCGCTCATTAAAATCAAGCCATTTTTATAGCCATGATGAAGTGAGTACCCATTTGCTTAAACAATATCTTATCACCTCTGGTTCACAATATAACTCTTTCGCTGTCTTCTGGTGTTGTTCCAGCACCCTTTAAGACAGCTTAAGTCATATCAATCTATACAGAAGATGACCCCTCTTCTATCTCGAACTATCGACCAACATCCATATTACCCAGCTCCTCTAAAATCCTTGAAAGAATTGTTTACAACAGATTATTTAAATTTTCACTCAAAATGACTCGCTGAACCCAGATCAGTTTGGTTTCAGGAATTTTCATTCAACTGATTTAGCACTACTCCAATTATTTGATAGTATAGGATTTCCCGGCCAAATTCGCGAGTTTGTCATTCAAATTAATTTGTCTTGCGTTCAAATTCGACGGTTTTAGTGCAGTCAGGTATATCTCGGGTTTATATTCCCTTTTCTAGTTTTCAAATCTATGGAATTTTCGTTAGAATCTACGTATGTTTCATTCAAATTAATGAACAATGTGCTTATTTCGCTATTTGGTCATTCGATTTGGCGCAACACGATTTTCTGACAACGCGATGGTGTACTTTTAGCATTCCAATTCATTTGTAGCATTTAAATTAGCACTTTGTGCACTTAAATTGATGGTCAATATACATTTCTCGTTTATTACACACTTTTTATAGCTCATTCTTTTTCTTTCAAGATTGTTTTTTCATGTTTATTTCATCATATTTCATTTTCTTGCATTTATACACTTATACTTATTAGATTTATCTGATATTCATCAGCATTTAAATTTGAATGTTAAGAAGAAAAAAACGACTTGCATCAACAGATATGATGGTCTCAGAATATTTGTAAATATTCATGTAGGGAAGTTGTTTGTCTTATGTTTCATCATAAATTTATCATAATTTTATCATAATTTCATTATGGAAGAAGGGTACAATATTGTGACTGGGGTAGGGACTAGAGTCAACAATTTGAACATGATTCATTATTTAGCCATGTCTTTAGCCATCGATATGCTGGCGGTCAAGTAAACTATGAAACTCTTTAAGAAAAATAGAGGGGTTTGCTGGGTATAAGAGACGATGTGAATTACTTTTGTAAAATTCCGAGTCTGTAGTAAAAGGGGCGATTGAGGGTACCCCCACCTTTCCCGGGTATATGAACATGTCCGTGCAGAAATGCCATATCCCTTGATTTCGCCCCTTCTTTACTTTATGTCTGACTACACCCATCTGCATTGTCCTGAAAATAAATAAAAGGAATAACAGCTTAGACCCCAATGGCAAATCATGCATTTAAACTGCATTATTTAAAAACTGTAAAAGTTTGTTGCAATTCTTCCCCCTAACATCGTGACATTCCTAACTTGAATACAAATATTACGAATACGAATGACAGGTGTTAATTTGAATGATAAAAATTACGCCTCGACAAGTGAATATTAATTTGAATGCTAGTTGAGCAGTTTCTAAATTGAATGACAGATCTATGAAACTCTTCGACCAAAATCCTAAATTAAATACAAAAACTGGAAAATTGAATGATTGTTGGCATGGCAAAGCCGATCTGCGCTAACTTAAATGCAAAGTAAATGAATTCGCATGACAAATACGCGAATTTGGCCGGGAAATCCATATCAAATGCTGATCATAAACATGTCATAGGCATATGCATGGATCTTAGCAATGCAATTGATACTCTTGATCATACTTTATTATTGTATAAATTAAAGCAATACGGTGTACGAGGTAAAGCACTTGGTTCGAAAATTACTTATTAATAAACAATATATACTTTATTCAAATCAGTTACTTCTAACGTATCGTCTATTAAATGTGGAGTTCCGCAAGGTTAAATACTTAGGCCACTATTATTCTTGATATACATGTATGTCAATGATATCTAAGTTTCCACCAATTATACAGTACTTATTGTTTGCCGATGATTGAACTACCCAATTTATCAGTATGGTTCAAAAGCAACTATCATTGAATTGAAAGACGACCAATTTTTATTCACTTTAGAAACTCAAGAAATCATAATATTCATAATTTTGAGCTGCTTACCAATAGAAAAAAGTCATTAACCAAATTCTTAGGTATATTATATATATATATATAAATTAAAAATGTAACTGGAATGATCAAGTGAACTATATCTCTACCCCTATATTTCTCGCAATATTGGTATACCATTTAAAGGGATAGTTGAGCTCTGTTTTCAGACCGAAAATGCTCTTATTCTTATCTATGACATTTATAGTGTCCTTTTAGAACCTAAAATTGCTATGAAGGGACTTTTAGACCCCAAAATGTGTGAAATTTAGTCAATACGATCATACCAATTCAGCTCCACTTTCAAAAAAAATACGGTGACCGTTAATTCATTATTTAACTAAAAACAACAATACATGGTCCGGCTGGTTTTGTGTAATATAACCAACACAAAACTGCCAACCAAAAAGCCAACATCGGCATTGGCTGAAATACGAAGTAAAGGCGCTATTTCGTTTTTCAACGGCTTTTTCAAATTATCTAATATTTGTGGTGGTACACAAGTATTAGAACTCGTTATATTTATGTATATTTCAGCAGTCTCTGAACCGATTTTGATCAAACAAAGATGATTTTGTCATTTAAAATGTATGTCCTTTCAAATTTGACACTCAGTTTTTCATTATCTCACAAACAAAATTTTTTGTGTAGCGCCCTCTGCAACAGAACTCAACTATCCCTTTAAGCTAATATATATTTTGTAAACACATGTGCTTAGTATGCTATATAAAACATTAGTTTTACCATATATTTCTTATTGCAATATCATATGCGCCACTCATAAGTTGAATACTAATCGTATATTAATGTTACAGAAATAAGCAATTCATGTTTGTACTGACCCTTTATTTGCCACAGTAAAAATTCTAAAAATAAGTGATACACTACATGCAAAAATCTCTGTTCATGTTTCGGCTTAAATCTGACGTAATGCCCCTATCCCTAACCATATTATTCCAACATAATGCTAATTTTCATTCCTACCCAACCAGGCATTCCAATAATAAACTATCATCTATTCAGCGCCAAAACCGCCTGAGCTCAAAACTCAATAAGACATTCTGGCCCTGATACCTTGCATGCACTACACAATACTTTCCTTTAAAAGAGCGGTGAAAATGTTCTTATTGCTCATCTTTAAATCCGCCATCAAAATTTGCTTACATTCAATCTTCATAATTTTCCTCGTACGCCCGTCGTTACATAACTCGATACTTTTTTTTGCTTCCATTCATTGATGAATATATATTCATATATATATATATATATATATATATGTTGATTATAACCTCCCGTGACCTGGTATGGATAAACGTACGAATAAGAAGTGGCTTACTTGGGATACTGACTGAACAGTGTTTTGTATACACAAATTTCCAGGCTCCGACTCGCAGGCCCAGGTTTGCAGTCTACCAGCTCGCTGATCTCACATTATTATTCATATTGTCCAGAAACATCGCGAGTCTTCTCATTCTATAAAATATTCCAAGTTGGCAATCCAATATTCAAAATAATGTGCATCTTGTTTTTTAATCTTCATATATCAAATTGAAATCCAACTCATGCCACATTCATATGTGAATCTAGATGTACACCCTTTTCTCTCTCTCTCTCTCTCTCTCTTTTCCCACTTTTACCTATAACGTCCATGTTTGACATCACTTTCTTTGTGCGATTTTGATAGGCCCTGACTGCCTGCAAATCGAATACAGAGAAGGCTTCGATGATGCTGCTTCGAAGATGGCGAAATGAACAACCTCCATATAAAGACACCACGAAGGACCTACTTAACAGGCTTAACAAGGCAGAAGAAAGAGAGAGAAACGTTCGAGCATGTTTCTCAGGTGACTACATTGCCCAACTCATGGTCATGACCATGCCCGTGGCGAGGTGTCACGCGCTGTAAATATATTTATGCTAATCCAACCTGTAAAAGGCGATTGGTGTTCACTTCAGTAATTCAGAGAAAATGTTGGCACTGTTAATTGCGCATCATGCTGCTTTTGGTTCGATATCATTCTCAAATAGCGCGTCAAAGGCCACGTCAGTCGCCAACGCAGTCATACGTCAGGCGAATGACACCTCGTGTACAACGGGTGTCAACGTCATGATGGTTAAGGTTGCCTCTGACAAGACCCCTTTGTTTCCAATATGTATTTCTTTATTTTTGTAGATGATTATAATTGATTTGTAATGTTTTGTTGGAAACAGAAATAAAATTGAAATTGGAATTGAAGTCAAGGTACATGTATGTATATATGTTTACATGCCAGTAATTCACAAAGTAGCTTGAGGACAATAAAGTTAGCTACAGAAGGTATGGTCGAATGGTGAAAAAAGAAATAAGAAGAAATGAAGGAAGAAAGCAAAGGGGAAAGGGAACATGTATAAAGGACCCTCCCATACATCCACAATAGGTGGCCTGGAAATTTGTAATACATCTACCTAAAAAAAAAACGATGTTCCGTGCAATGGTCATGCCTGCCCTCAATTCCGCAATATAATCCTGGATCCGTCATGAGTAACACAGTTAATACGGTTTTCATTTAAAAAAAAAATTGCAGGCAACGTCGCTCGCGAAAAGATCGTGAATGCTGTCATCCAAGCGAGTTGTCAAGGTCCTGTGTCTAGTGACAATTCAGCTCAATCAGTAAGCTCAGCATGTAAAACAATATCCAGGGTAAACAGAAGATCAATATATTTAGACATTTTCCCGGGCTCAATTGCCTGTTCCCTGAGCATGGATTCAAACAGACAAAGAGAAGAAGATCCAGGTCGAAGTGCGGTGGTAGAGACCAATTCCTTCTCCTTCAGGCCATGCAATGAAGTTCACACTCTTAGAACGGACTCAGCAACCACTACCGTTGATGCTGTCAACGAAGCGAGTTATGAAGGTACTGAATTTGTGTCTAGTGACTATTCAGCTCAATCAGTAAGCTTTGTATGTGAACAAAATCCCAGGGTGAACAGAAAATCAATATATTTAGACATTTTCCCGGGCTCAATTGCCTGTTCCCTGAGCATGGATTCAAACAGACAAAGAGAAGAAGATCCAGGTCGAAGTGCGGTGGTAGAGACCAATTCCTTCTCCTTCAGGCCATGCAATGAAGTTCACACTCTTAGAACGGATTCAGCAACCACTGCCGCTGATGCTGTCAACGAAACGACTTGTGAAGTAACTGATCTTGGTTCTAGTGACTATTCAGCTCAACCAGTAAGCTCAGTATGTGAACAAATACCCAGGGTGAACAGAAGAACGATATATTTAGACATTTTCCCTGGCTCAGGATCAACTGAAACTTCTAGCATTGATTCAAACGGACAAAGAGAAGAAGATCCAGGTAGAAGTGCAACGGTAGAGACAAATTCCTTCTCCTTCGGGCCATGCAAAGAAGTTCCCACTCTTAAGACGGATTCAGCAACCGCTGCAAAGAACATTGACAATCGAAACAATCAGGAACTGACTGACGTGGCGACGGGAAAGGAAGTGAGAGAATCAAGTTCTAAAAGTGGAATTGACTTTGTAGTGGGTTCCTGCAAACCGTTGTCCGATAAAGAGGTCTTCAACGTTGCTGAGGACATCGAATCGGATGCTCAGATTGAGAACCTCGGTGTGGCCCTGACCTTCTCCAGGGCCGACATAAACCGGTACCTTGGCACAAACGAGATACTGGGAAGTAAAACCAGCAGAGGGAGTCGCATGATGCTGTTCGATTGGCGTCAGACGGTGAGACAACGGGATCAACGTTCTTCTTTCAAAGGAGCCCTGGTTAGAGCTGGACTCGTTATGATTGCAGATCAGTACTTCCCAGATGTTCAAGAGATGGCAGAAAATCGTAAGTGCATCATTCTCATCCTCCCTTCACTCAGTGTACTCTAACATGTTCTAAAGTTGAAAATCTTTTTTTTTCTTCAAAAATATGAATGCACAATCAAAAGAGCGAAATTACGTTTGGGTTATGTGGAACCTCTATCCTTCGGAAAATAATAATAATAATAATACATCTCTTTTCTTTCGTTGTCTGCAAAGTGATCGGTCACAGCGTTGATGAACATGGGAGTACTTTGAGAAGCCTGGCGAGAGACATCGAAAGCGATGACCAAATGTGCGCTCTTGGACGAGAGCTCGGTTTTTCGGAGAGCGTCCTTGATAGGTTTGCTGCCTCGAACAGGAAAGAAGGGATGGTTACGTGTAAAGGGAATACGGACATGCTGTTTGAATGGCGCCAAGAAGTGGTTCCTTCGGAGTTACCCTTTCGACTGAAGAAAGCGCTACGTCAAGCTGGCCTCGTTTTCCTTGCTGAGAAGCATTTCCCCGACATATTGCAGCCCGAAGGTAAGTATCTTATCAATGTAAATTACGATGGTCTGAATGTGTCAACTTGATGCGTTGTGATTTCTTCTTTTAGTCTGGACTACTTCACAAGGAGTTTTTTCCCCGAACAACTGTCAACTGGACGACCACCCTAGTGATTATTAATGATCGTTTATTGTAATGAAGGCACCATTTGTTTTTCAACATGGTGGCAAAGACTTTCACAAGAAATTAACTTAAGCACAATTTCTATATCTTTTAATACTGCACTACGACATCATGTTCGGATTTAATACGCCATTGTCATTTTGCAAATTTAAGTAGATGATGCACACGGCTATTTAAATTGTCTTCGGTTGAGTTTTGGAGAGTCTTTACGAATGTGACTTTCCCCAACTTAAAGTTTATCGAAAGTAAATTCTTGTAGGAGATATTTTCTCCATGCTGTAAAGGGGAATTTGTCTGCAAAATCGTTAGGATTAGCATTTACTTTTATTTGCTTATTGTAATGAAGATTCTTTTGTCTACATCTTTTACTATTAAACACTTCCTCGTTTATAACAGAGCCTAGCTTGGATATCCTTAGCGCAAAAACTACTGCAATAGCCTACCTGCGGAAACATCTGATTGACTATTACAAGATCGAGACGTGTCAGATCCAGAGAAAACCGTGGGATCCGGAAGATTTTGCTGATTTGAAGAACCTGTTTACAAACGTTATCGTGTACTTTGTAAACAAGAATACAGGAGTGGGTATGAGAGAGATTCTTCCTGGGTCTATCAGTGATGTTTTTCGGGTGAGAGTCAATGGACTTATACCAAATAGAATCCTCTTAGTTGCAGAAGCGGGAAGGGGCAAAACATGCGCCGTTGCAAAGATGGCATATGACTGGTCATACCAGGAAGAGAGCTCCCCACTCAGTGATATTCCTCTCTTCTTTGCTTTGAAGTTGAGAGTGGTTGATGAAGACATGTCTCTAGGAGAAGCCATACTGTCCGAAACACTCGGGAACGTCCACGGAGTGACCCCAGAATCTCTTGAAGGGTTCATTGGTAGACACGAAGATGATTGTGGGCTTGCGCTGGACGGGTATGATGAGTACAAGGGCAAGTTGTCTACAAAGAACCCAAAGAGCAGTATCATATTGGCTATTGGAAACAAGCTTTACAGGCGATGTCGCCTTATCGTCACCAGTCGGCCTTATCTAGAGAAGGAGTTCAAGGTTCCAGGACTGGCTAGGATCTACACGAAAATGGAGATCGAGGGCTTTACACAATCCCAAGCGACGTCCTTCATGGAGAAATACTTCACGTCGAAGTCAAAACCGGAAGAAGTTGGCAAATTAACAGAGTTACTACACGGCAATTCATTTATCGATACCATCATCAGCATACCACTCTTCTGCATGATGATCTGTCACCTCTGGGAAGAAGGCCTTCTTAACCAAGTTTCTTCCATGACAGGGTTGTTTGACACCATCATCCAGTTTCTACTCACTCATTCAAGATCCAGAGACGACACGTTTGAATGTGACTATCACGCCCTCCTTCAAAACCTCGGAAAAGTGGCACTCACTGGACTCTTGAAAGACGAGCAGAAGATGGTCTTTGAAGATACTGATCTTCAAGGGGTCGAAGAGTACGAAGTCATTGGTATCAAACTGGGTCTGCTGTCAAAGAAGACAATTCCAGTCAAATACATGATAAACGGGAAAGCCTCGAAGACGTACGTCGAGTTCTTTCACAAAATGGCACAGGAGTATTGTGCAAGCAAGTTCTTGGCTGGTTCCCAGGGCGACCTCGACCAGTTCATGAAGAATATACGTAGAAGTGCCACACCGCTCATGTATGCTGATGTGCTCCGCTTCCTGGCTGGTTCGGGTGACAATCTGCTGATGTCTTCTATTCAACTCATCCTGGAACTTGAGGAGAGAGTAATCAGCAAAGATATCAAGCACAGACTTCTTCTGGACTGCATTGGTGAAGCCAGAGGTGACATATCAAAATCAACGACTGACTATCCAACTTTCTTTGACGATGGCAAGCTGTGTCTGCAATCATTGCCATCGAGTGCAGTCATGGGATTGGGTAGACTGCCGCCCAATGTACAAAAACAGGTAAATAATAGTTTTGTTGTTATACATTGTAATTTAGCGACACACTTATTAAATTCATAACAATACCGGGTTGGCGTGGACGATCATGCCAAGAATAATTATTTGCTCCATATTGTCCCTGATAAGCCCCATTCATAGTTTCAATGCAAATAACACATATTATTTTTTTGTTGATAGGTACAATTTTTTCGAATATAAAAATATATCTACATTTATTTGTTGTTCTATTAAATTTGCATTTCGGCGATGTGCCATGTTGTTTTTAATCATCTAGATCACGTCTGTGGATCTCATGTATTGTCATCTGCTGGCAAACCTGACACAAACCCTTTGGCTTGGTCTTCGATCTTGTACCAATTTGGAAGAGATGAAGGTATGGGAGTGCTCTCTACAAAATACCGAATTGCCCACGCTTCCTTTCATCAAGCGCCTCAAAATTGGGCACCTCGACTACTCCAATGACCATTACTCACTCATTACTGCCGTTCCCAACGTCCAAAGCCTCAAAGTGGAGAGTAGTCCAAACTTCGACAATCTTCAGCAGGTCCTGGACTCGGTCATGGCAGGACTTGCGGAGTGCAATGGTCAGCTACGCAGTCTCCATGTGAGCGGATGCAGCGGTCAGATGTCGATGTTATGCGCCACAACGCTTATCTGTAGCATAGAGTCAGACGCACCCCTCTTGGAGAAGCTGGAATTGTACGACGTCAATCTGAAATTGAATATTCTGAAGATATTCGTTTTCAGGCTGAGGCAGATACCTAGCATGAGGGAGATCGAGTAGGTTTTGTCCTAATAATCCTTACGATTTCTCTTAGAAAAAAAGGAAGCTTCAATTTGGGGAGCCGAACTTGTGCATATTAGAAAGCAAAATACTAGACACAGCTGACTCTAATGTAATATTCATTAATAGAGTGGTTCTGGTAATTGCTTGCGTGTCGATGTCTCACCATATTTCTCACATCTGTAGTATGGTTATGTTTTATTTAAGGAATATTGCTAGAATCAGAAGTTTATTGACCAGTCTGTCTGTCATAATGCTGTGCGTTGTTCAGTTCTATCCCGTATTGATTATTGTAATGGGCCTCTCTCTACCATTCCCTCGACTAAATTGGATCGTGTGCAACGGCTACGAAACTGGGCAATCCGATTGATATTTCAGGTTTCTAGGGACCATCCATCTCAGCCACTCTTTACACTGCCAGATCATTACACTGGCTTCGTTTGAAACAAAGAATAATTTTTAAATTACTCTTCTTTGTCTTCAAAATACTCAATAATCAAGCTCCATAATATTTAGATACCTGTTTGAATTTATATACACCTGCCAGGGCATTGAGGTCAGCCAGTGATCCTCTCCGTCGTACATATTCAGTTGCCCGCACATTAGCCGGTGATAGGACATTTACTGTATCTGCTTCAAAATGCTGGAATGATCTACCACTTAGAATTAGGCAGTCTCCATCAGTTATTACTTTCAGAAAGGCCTTAAAAATGCATTTTATTTGCAGTTTGTAGTTGTAAGCGCTAGAAAACCGCGGTATAAGTAATAGTAATAATAATAATAATAATGATAATAATGATGATAAGCTAGGCCTTCATGTCTCATCCCCTTTCACCAGAAAATCCATTTGATCGGGACATGAAAATAAAAATGAAAGGTGAAGGCATTTAAGGTATGTGGTTGCTTTTTGTAAATGCTCCCCAAATAATATATATATATATATATATATATATATATGAATGGCAAATAAATACATTCACGCGATAACTTTTGACGTCCATAAACTTTTAATCATGAACTTGCCATGCTAACGATCACAGTTGTTTTTGTTGTTGCTAACTTGCTCTTTCTCCTCTATACAGTTTTCAGTACTGCGGTACTCGAGAAGGGGGAGACGTCGAAGAGTATCTCGGTGAAATCTCCACAGTTGATGGCACGATTGCGGTGACATTACGTCATGTATGTATAATTCATATATTTGAAAAAAAATTATAATAGTGAACACGATAGTGATAATATCATTATGATGATGATTGATTGGTTCTTCTGCTTGGCGCTCATGCTAAACAGAAATAATGTAACATTATAGAACATGGACATTCAATACAAAAATTCAACACCAAATATTAACACCAAAGTTTTAAGTTTTAACATATAATTATTGTAGACGACCTTCCATTTATCCGTAATATTGAATCCAAACGACTTGTCTGAATGATTATTTGTTTTTACTTTTTAATCCTTGTACAGGCATACCGAAAAAGCAAGACCTATGGCATTTCTCACATGACTGTTTGAGTGCAGCCTACGAAGAATTTCAGAAGAATTGGAAACTACTTTATGCCCGTCGTGTTTCATAACAATTGGTTAATGGAAAAAATGCAATATCTGACGCAGTCTATGCATCAATTTATCATTAACAAGAATTAATTAATTTATGACAAATGTTAAGTTAATAGAAGGGATATACACAAGATAAAGGTTTTACAATGTTTTTGGTGACGATCCATTAAAGCGAACGCACACAGTTGAAGAAATGGAAGAAGTATTACCGATAAGTGCAAACAGTGCATTGTTACACTATGAACATCATTTATTTTGAACATCAGTTATCAACAGTTATGTACACAATTATGTCATACAGAGGAACGTCTTCGTCTCTATATTATGCTGTATATCGAAATAAGAAGGGAGACATAAAACCTTTATCAAATGTAAATAAGACATTTGACAATGTGTCTAATAATATAACAATGGAAACTAATTCAGATTATAAGGTTTGTAAATAATGAACAATTAATACCTCAGTCAAATCGCCAAACCGACACCAGACAGACCGATACTTGGTCATTTTTCGTAAGGTAAATTCTCTTCAGGTGTGCTGACGGTCTTGTGGCGGTCTCATCGATGTAACTGATGTGTAACAGACAGATGGTCCTCGGGAATTATACCCGTTTCCATCAGAGAGTTAACCTGTCTTTGCCACTTTCAAAAGATCCATTTAAATATTCTGATTCCGTCAGAAATATAACATATACACCTATTTTATGAATTTTATGTCTCTTTTCACATTCTGTTATTTTGTAAGCGCTATGGTACTTTTTGTTTGTTTGCGGTTCTCCTAATTCGTCAATATTATCATAGTTATTATTATTACTACTATTATTAATAATACCTCGGACTTACTGTAACATTGCAATAGATAAGTCTACTATGCTTTCACTGATAATTTGATTAAACTTAAAGGCACACTGTCCTACTTGTAGCTACTTGCTCCCTCTATATAGAAAACTTCTCAAATCGGTGCCTGTTGGTCCCCCATGATCCTCTTTTTCTTATGTTAAATGAGAGCTGAGTTAATGAGATAGCCACCTGTCACATTGACCTCGATGGCTCACTGGGTGGTCTAATCCCTTCTCGCTGAAGTAGTAAAGCCTCCCTTTAAATACATCGTCAAATTCATGAAAGTTATTATCCGTGGTTTCGGCGTAAAATTGATGAAGATGAGCACTTCACACTAGAATATCATGATTCATGATAAATCAAACCATTGTAAGAGCCTGATGTCATCACAACATTGTACGACGAATGTTATGAGACAAATATTTTATGAAATACATTCATCGATTTCAATACATTTAAAATAAGCGTGATAAATTTCGTACGGTTGTCCTCTGTTCACCATGTTCACATTGGATTTCTAGGAACAAAAGCGTGGTTCAATCAGATATCCGAATGCTCTGTGGCTTGATAACAACTACATGTATTATTCAAGAAATAAGAATGAAGGAACATTCTGTGGAATACCATTACAAATGTTTGACTTGACTTCAGTCGATGAAACGAATGAATAATATCAACAATAATAATAATAATAATGGTAATAATAATACAATAATAAAAAACATCTAAGGATTAATTTACATGGTGCATTTCATGAAAGAAATATCTTTTTGCATTACATAAAATCTTGTAAGGTCATAAAGACGTATAAAGTTAAGTTAATAGGTAATTTTTAAGATGTTGATGAATTGATATGGTCGTGTAGATTGATTTTCCTTCACGACTTTGCCCTAGAACGTATGGCAACAATTCTAAAAAGTGCTGAGAAATGAGATCAACTTTTAACAATGGTTTAGTGACCTAAAGGTCGTTGTTATTTTTCACTAAGAATAATATTACACCCGTGAAGTGATACGAGTAATTAAGAAAATTATACATATTATTATAATGATAAGATACCTTATTAACATTAAAAAGCCAGTTCATGAAAGATATTGTATTTTGGTGAATTAATTACATGTAATGTGTATCCACGGTATAATTAAGAAATAAAAGTGTATTGTTTGGAAACATTTTTGTATAGTTTGATTCACTTTACGTTGAAATTGAGAAGGATTATAGATACGATGTGGCATTTTGACATCATTACAGGAGCGGCGGAGCGACTTCCAATGTGTGTGGGGGGGGGGGGGAGGAGCAACAAAAACAGGGCACTTTCTGGAAAAAAAGAGCACCTACAAACAAAGGTAAATCTCACGGCGAACATGCACAATTTTTTAGACATTGGTATATACCTCTACATTTTGATTACATTATCAGGGATGATTTCAATATTTGTTTTTTTCTGTTCATTTGTGAGGTCACAGTGCGAAAAATTACATCTTATAAAGAAGAAAAACCCAATCATGATGGGGGGGGGGGGGGGTATGAGCACATTCTCATAACGGAAGACTGAACATACCTTTGATAGGTAACATAATGATATCATATATCAATGCGATCGAGCGTAGCGAGCAACCTTTTGGGAAAATTGCTCTTAGTCGCTGTAAATTAGGGACGCGTTTAATAATGAGAGGAAAAGGAGACACTTATCGAAAGTGATAAGACACTTATTTTTCGACAGGTTTGCCACAAAAAGATTGAGATACTTTGGACATATCGAATAAATCCAAAAAGATACCCCTACATCCTTCTCAACGGAAATGTACATGGCAAACGCCCTAGGGGGAGACCAGCTAAGAGATGGACAGACTGCATCAAGGCGGACTGCAACCAGGGGCGTCGCTGGACCTTTTTTAGTGTAGAGACCACCGATTACCGACAAAATTGAATGTACAAAATATGAACTATCTATGGTACTTGCATAATCGGTGATTTGACGAAGTGGCACAAACGGGCAAAATTGCGGTTTTGTATGGATTTGAGATTGACCTATACTTTTACTAGTTAGGCCATTGTCTATCATCTCACCAATTTTTAAGACTCAATTCTAACTAATTATGCTTATAATGCTGATTTAAGAAATGACACAAACGCCAAAAGGCGGATGTTTGTTTTCACGATGTGACACGCTTAATTGTGTCACTGCGCGCATATGCGTGTAACCGCAGTTGCGCGCGAATTTCTGTAGTAAAAAATTCCACAAAGTGACACACACTTTCGTTTGTCGTGTTGTCATTTGTAGCGACAAATGTTACAGTGCAGTCATTTATAATTCACTGGTATACATATTGTGTTTTTAATCCAAAATGGCCGCTTTAGAAGTCATTGAGAGTTCGAGGATTTGGTATTACGCCATGTCCTCAGAACTGGTTTTAACTCGATTTATTATATAACGATGTTTATTCATTAGTATTTTGATCACATGACCAATTAACATAGATGTACGCGTATTTATTCATAAGTATTTAGATCACGTGCCTTATTAACATACATGTGCGCTTGTTTTGAACCAATCGCGCTGTAGTTGATTGGCGCTCTTCTGATTTTCCTGTGCG